ACTAAGCTTGTCTATTAAACACGAGAGACGTCACTTGGTTTTATTTTTGCTGGCCAACTTTTGAACTGAACCTCAGTATTTTCTGTTTGCTTACTGGGATACAGAAAGATTTGACCAGAGGTAAGGAATTCATTTTTGGTTGAACTGTGTGTTTTGTATTGAGCGCTTACTGTATAACACACTGTGGTGCGTTAACGTTAGTTTTTCTTGTGGTCTGTAGGCCGACCTGAACACAAGAAAGAACAGCGTAGTTCTATCTATCTAATATTGTGTATCCACTGATTTACTGCTTGTCCATTTTGAATAGAAAGAATTAGATTATTTTGCAAAATCATTCAACCCAATATGTCCTGAATCTTCAACAGACAGCACTGGTTAGAAGCACAGAAACATGACAGAATAACAATATAATAATAAAGTTTGTCTAATAAAATAAGTACGACAGGTGAGTTAGGTGCGTCTCACCTGTTGTCCTCTCCTGCCCGTCCTCCTCGTCCTCTCGTCCGGTCCGTATCAGTTACAGACAGATGGGCTACAGCGCTGCACTGTCCGACATCGTTCCTGAACCACAGACAGGGAGAGGCTCTGACATCCTAAAAGTGCATACTACTCATAACCACTACTGTAGCAACCTTTCTGATACCGTCCACTCAACGTTCCTTGAACCTTTCTAGTTCCCAAATTAACTGCTCCACTAACCCTTCTTTGCAGTTCCCTTCCTAGTGCCCCAAAACGCATAGTGCCAGACCTTCTACCGTCCCATTACCTTCCTCAGTACCTTGGTATCCTCCCTAATACTTTAGTACCCTTCTTAGTACACGATTTCTACCTTGTATCATATAAGATCATATAAGCTGGGAAATACAGTGTGCTTCCTGTGAGGTATAAATTTCCTACTATCCTAGTAACCTGCCAAGTGCCTCAGTGCACTGTAATACAGTATTACTGTAATACTACAGTGCAGTACCTGATCCTCTGGGACTAGTAGTAGTAGTAGTAGTACTACAATTCAAATGAGAATGGCAGAAATAATTTCTGTCTTCAACATAACTTTGTAGAAAAGCATCTGCTAAATTAATAAATGTAAATTTATCTTTATGTGGTCTACCGCTAAAGCTCGAAGGACACTTGTATTGTACACACTGTACACACTGCACTGTACACACTGCACACACTGTACACACAATGTACGCACTGCACTGTACACACTGCACTGCACACACTGTACACACTGTACTGTACACACTGTACGCACTGCACACACTGTACACACTGTACGCACTGCACACACTGTACACACAATGTACGCACTGCACTGTACACACTGCACTGCACACACTGCACACACTGTACTGTACACACTGTACGCACTGCACACACTGCACACACTGTACTGTACACACTGTACGCACTGCACACACTGTACACACTGTACTGTACACACTGTACGCACTGCACACACTGTACTGTACGCACTGCACACACTGTACACACAATGTACGCACTGCACTGTACACACTGCACTGTACACACTGCACACACTGTACTGTACGCACTGTACGCACTGCACACACTGTACACACTGCACTGTACACACTGTACGCACTGCACTGTACACACTGCACTGTACACACTGTATGCACTGCACTGTACACACTGCACTGTACACACTGTATGCACTGCACTGTACACACTGCACTGTACACACTGCACTGTACACACTGCACTGTACACACTGCACTGTATACACTGTACGCACTGCACTGTACGCACTGCACTGTACACACTGTATGCACTGCACTGTACACACTGTACGCACTGCACTGTACACACTGCACTGCACACACTGTACACACTGCACTGCACACACTGTACTGTACACACTGTACACACTGCGCACACTGCACTGTACGCACTTTACGCACTGCACAGTATGCATTGTACGCACAAGTTGTATATTGGGGTGTATTAGCAGTCTTAATACCCTCCTCCCTCTTTAAAAAGTTGGAAGCATACTTCTGACTGACAGACGCTGGCTGACCAGAGAAAACTCTGACAATATCTGAACCTTTAAAGTTCATGAAAACATTAATAATAATGTTCATCCTGCTGAAGAGGATTCAGCCAACAGACTTTTCAAATCAATCACAGATCTGAGCTCTAAAGCTGCCACGCTGGGAAAGAACTCTCTCTCCTCTCTCTCCAGGTCTCAGTGTGAGAGGAGGAGCAGAGGTTCCTCCCTGAGGTCAGAGGAGTCGTCTGAGGCAGGTTGTGACGTTATGAATAAAGTTGACCTAATCTAAATGAAAGTGAGACAGTGGGAGGATCAGAGACTACGATATGTGGAGAGGTGGATGCATAGATTATGACTCACCTGAGGGTGATCAGGTAGTCTCCAGCGTGATGTTTTTTAACCCTCCTAATGAAGAAGAAGAAGAAGAGGGGGGAGGGTTTAGTCTAACAGATCCCTGTGAGTCCAGGATGAAGCGTCTGTAAGAGTAAATGTTCGACCTGATCAGCAGCGAGACCACGTCCTCTTTCTGCAGCAGCTCATAGTCTCCTCCGGAGGTCAGAGGTCGGCTCAGGTGGGCTCTGGTCCAGGTGTACTCGGGGAACGGGTCTCCGGCAACAGCACAGGACAGCAGGACATGTTGGCCCACAAAGGCGCTCACCGCTTTGGGTTTGGTGATGAACCAGGGCTGGACGCCGTCCTGGGGCTCTGCCACAAAACCACAACCAAAACTACACCTGTGACTCCAACCAGTGATCATCACTCTGTCATGTGTTTATAGTTTGGAGTCAGTTTGTTGGCCGCAGAGTGTGTGTGTGGTTACCCTCCACAGTCAGCTGGGACTGGGTGTGGTCCTCTCCGTACTGGTTCCAGGCCTGGCAGCTGTAGGTCCCAGTGTCCTCGGGGAAGACCTCCTGGATCAGCAGAGTGCAGCGGTTCTCCTCCCTGAGGAGGTGGAAGTCCTCGGATTCTGTCACCTCCTGCCCGTCATGGAGCCACACCACCTCTGGAATCGGGTTACCTGCGGACCACAACGACTTCATCCATACATCTCAATCAATACTCATCAATAAATGAACAAAACCATCAACAGGTTTAACCTGAGGTCTAGTGTTACCACTTCAGTTCAGCCCAAAGGGAGTTCCCATCTCCCACAGAAAACTCTGCTCCTGAACTGAACAGCTGGATTGTAGTCCAGCCTTTACTTCCGCCCTCCAAAACACTGCTGCAGCACACAGTGCCAAGACGTCCAGACGATACAAATGAACATCATGCTGTGTTGAAGAAGACTTGAAACTAGCGACTGAGACCATAAAAAGTGTTTACTGAGGTAATAACTCAGCTGAGAAGTAGCCTCATTTTCTCATAGACTGCTATACAATCACACTCAAACCAGCCATTTTTATCCACACCAAACACCCATCAAACCCCAAGCATCTGACTAAGCCTGTATCAAAACAAAAACCGCTCTGTAATCTCTGTACATGGCTGAAGTTATAGGCATCCAGTTATGTCTAATCATAATCTATCCTCATGTCCAACCTCTCAAGTCAAAGCTAATCTCCCCCTGATATCAGCTGTACAGCTCACATCACTCAAAATCACCAACATTACAGACTAATTAGCTGGATAAATGTAACAACAAACAAACTCATTTGTTGACAGAAATAATCGCGGCCGCCATTTTGGATATTGCACAATACCTGGGAGCTGTGCGCCTGCATTCGTCTTTTTCTGCAGAGAGGAGACGTCTCGCTTTTTCACACTCTGTGTTTTTTGTGGATTAGTAGGCGACTCGTAGGAGCTACATAGACATCCAGAGGCCGAATCGATTGATGCCCCACCATCACTGTGGGATGTTCTGTTCTCACGCTACAGGCCTGTAAAGCACGGGAGGGCTTCTGGTGACAGGAATGTTGATCAGTATTCACTGTTTTTATCAATATAATCTTCTTCAGTTGTATTCCAGGTGTTTTAAAAGATATTCAGGTGCATTATAATCTATCTTATGATGGTTTTGATGTTTTATTGCATTAAAATATAGGTTTTTTTACCAGGTGAGGATAAAAATATCAACTATTTTTTCTGTATTGCATCTCCATGTGGTCTGTAATGGTAAAATAAATATGGATGTATATCCCTCAGCTTCTGACCTTTCAAAGGAGACCAGAATGATGCACCTAGGCCTGAAGTGGTTGAGGAGCTATTACTGATTCTTTTTGGGTTTGTTATTTTAGGCGTTTTTCCTGGAAAAAGGGTGCCTGTCCTTAAAGGCTCTTCACTCGTGAGAGACAGAGGTTGCCGCTTGGTCAGGACCCGCCCTACTCTGCTTCTGATTGGCTAGCTGTCCTTAGCTAGGTACTGCCCATGCGCAACTCCCAACAAAGATCTAACAGAAGTGAGATGCTTCACTCTGTAGCTAAAACGATGCGTTCCCGTACCACCTCTAAATAAAATGATGAACGTGAAGATGACCTCTTTAAAATAAAACTTCATGACAAGAAATCATTTTAAAATCAAAGGGAAACTGACAACAGAGAGCAGCAGACCAGATCCTCACACAGCTTATATGGAGAAAACCCTCTGTGGAAAATCATTATGTAACACACACACACACACACACACACACACACACACACACTCTGCTGGGTTAATAACATGGAGCCTTCAGCCATAGTTCACCTCTATAGTACCTGATAACTCAAACCCAGTACCTGCTGTCAGACCAGTGCAGTTAATTAACTTGCCTGGTGAAATAAAGGTATAATAAAATAAAATAAACCAGAACACGACCACAGACGCACACACTGAACACACACAAACAGAGAGGAAATGAAGAGGCAGAACTCGTCCAAAGTAAATCTGTCCTCATCTGCACCATCTCCCCGCAGATCTGACAGGAAATACCACAGCTAACACACACACACACGCGCAGTGACGGCGTGGTCGTACCAGTCAGCTCCACCGTCATGGTAACTCTGCTGCCGTCCATCACCTTCAGGTCGGCGAGGCGGCGGACGAAGCGTGGAGCCTCACATGCTCCTCTGGCCTCCGTGACCTCTGACCTGCAACCCTGCGGTCCGCCTGTGACGCAACAACACATGAAAAGGAAAATCACACATCTGTTCAATCTGACATCAGATGTCAGTGTGACATCACGTCGTTACATCAAAACTGATAAGTTGAACACACGTCCGCTTTTCAATGGGCATCAGCGGCACAGGGGAAGAAGACATATCAGACTCAGCCGTTAACTCAGAGAGCGTACAGTATGTCACGTATAAACAGCTGAAGCGAAACCATAACAAACCAGGTTCTGCTCCACAAAGAAACCCGCATTCAAAATCTCACTGGCTTTTAGAACAATTCTAATGACTTCAACTCCTCAGAAGAGACTTTCTCCAGAGTCTCACACGTTTACATCTAATATCAATGTTTAGTCGATATTCATAGATTTAACTGCCCTAAACGAACATCATTTCCCATAAGCCCATGTCATTTTACCATGTTTATGCTGAATTCATGCTATGTTGACAGAAATCTTCTGATGTGAGTGTTCCTGTTGGACAGCAGAAAAACTGGCTAACACTGTTTGATAGAAGAAAGTCTAAGACCTCCGGTCTGGGGACCTTCAGGTCTGTGAGCCAATGGGAAGAGAGAATAGTCTCCATTAAGACTAAGATGATGGCGCAAGTTCATCTCATGGCTCAGGGAGCTGAACCACTACTACACTCATTTTGACCGAGGAAACAAGAAGGTGACCCTCAAAGTGGGGGTCCCGCCTGAGTGCTCAGAGCCTTCAGAGATTGAACCATCAGTCCAGCAGCACCTTTGCACTCATACTGCACTGCTCACAGAACTACTTACTTGTTATTTGCAATATTCATATTTTTGCACAGACTGAACCCCTACACTGTTTAATAATGTTACAGTACCGACACATTCTAGTCACATATGGACGCTTGGTCAAGACCCATTGGCATGGCTTCTTAACGCCCTGGGTACCCTTTACGTTGTTTTTTGTAGGGCTCCATGGTCAAGTTAGCAAGAAAAACTCTCGGTCTGATGCCGGATTTCTTTACCAGAGTTTTTTTATGGTCTGATGCCAGAGTTTTTTAAGTTCTGCTACTGGATTTCTTCACCGGAGTTCTTTACCAGAGTTCTTTAAGGTCTGATGCTGGAGTTCTTTACAGTTTGATGCTGGAGTTCTTTACTGTCTAATTCCGGAATTCTTTACAGGAGTTCTTTACCGGAGTTCTTTACCGGAGTTCTTTACGGTCTGATGCCGGAGTTCTTTACAGGAGTTCTTTCAGGGAGTTCTTTACCAGAGTTCTTTACGGCCTGATGCCAGAGTTCTTTACGGGAGTTCTTTACCAGAGTTCTTTACAGCCTGATGCCGGAGTTCTTTATGTTCTGAGGAACTTGAAGCTGCACCGCTTCTTTTTATTTGACTCCACTGAATAACATCTCAAAAGGTGCCGGTGATCCCTTGGGCAGTTTTCACCACCCCCCGGAGTTCTTTACGGTCTGATGCCGGAGTTCCTTTCAGCCTAATACCAGAGTTCTTTACCGGAGTTCTTTACAGACTGATGCCAGAGTTCTTTACCAGAGTTCTTTACAGGAGTTCTTTACGGTCTGATGCTGGAGTTCTTTTCAGCCTGATACCACAGTTCTTTACCGGAGTTCTTTACAGCCTGATGCCAGAGTTCTTTACCGGAGTTCTTTACGGCCTGATGCCAGAGTTCTTTACCGGAGTTCTTTACAGGAGTTCTTTACGGTCTGATGCTGGAGTTCTTTTCAGCCTGATGCCAGAGCTCTTTACCGGAGTTCTTTACAGGAGTTCTTTACAGGAGTTCTTTACAGCCTGATACCAGAGTTCTTTACCGGAGTTCTTTACAGGAGTTCTTTACGGTCTGATGCCGGAGTTCCTTTCAGCCTAATACCAGAGTTCTTTACCGGAGTTCTTTACAGACTGATGCCAGAGTTCTTTACCAGAGTTCTTTACAGGAGTTCTTTACGGTCTGATGCTGGAGTTCTTTTCAGCCTGATACCACAGTTCTTTACCGGAGTTCTTTACAGCCTGATGCCAGAGTTCTTTACCGGAGTTCTTTACAGCCTGATGCCAGAGTTCTTTACCGGAGTTCTTTACAGCCTGATGCCAGAGTTCTTTACCGGAGTTCTTTACGGCCTGATGCCAGAGTTCTTTACCGGAGTTCTTTACAGCCTGATGCCAGAGTTCTTTACCGGAGTTCTTTACGGCCTGATGCCAGAGTTCTTTACCGGAGTTCTTTACAGGAGTTCTTTACGGTCTGATGCTGGAGTTCTTTTCAGCCTGATGCCAGAGCTCTTTACCGGAGTTCTTTACAGGAGTTCTTTACAGCCTGATACCAGAGTTCTTTACTGGAGTTCTTTACAGGAGTTCTTTACGGTCTGATGCCGGAGTTCCTTTCAGCCTAATACCAGAGTTCTGTACCGGAGTTCTTTACAGCCTGATGCCAGAGTTCTTTACAGGAGTTCTTTACGGTCTGATGCTGGAGTTCTTTTCAGCCTGATACCACAGTTCTTTACCGGAGTTCTTTACGGGAGTTCTTTACGGTTTGATGCCGGAGTTCTTTACAGTTTGATGCCGGAGTTCTTTACTGTCTAATTCCTGAGTTCTTTACAGGAGTTCTTTACGGTCTGATGCCGGAGCTCTTTACAGGAGTTCTTTACGGTTTGATGCCGGAGCTCTTTACAGGAGTTCTTTACGGTTTGATGCCGGAGCTCTTTACAGGAGTTCTTTACGGTTTGATGCCGGAGTTCTTTACAGTTTGATGCCGGAGTTCTTTTCAGCCTGATACCACAGTTCTTTACCGGAGTTCTTTACGGCCTGATGCCAGAGCTCTTTACGGGAGTTCTTTACGGTTTGATGCCGGAGTTCTTTACAGTTTGATGCCGGAGTTCTTTACTGTCTAATTCCTGAGTTCTTTACAGGAGTTCTTTACGGTCTGATGCCGGAGCTCTTTACAGGAGTTCTTTACGACCTGATGCCGGAGTTCTTTACAGGAGTTCTTTACGGTCTGATGCCGGAGTTCTTTACAGGAGTTCTTTACGGTCTGATGCTGGAGTTCTTTACGACCTGATGCCGGAGTTCTTTACAGGAGTTCTTTACGGTCTGATGCTGGAGTTCTTTACAGGAGTTATTTACACGAGTTCTTTACCGGAGTTCTTTACGGTCTGATGCTGGAGTTCTTTACCAGAATTCTTTACAGGAGTTCTTTATGGTCTGATGCTGGAGTTCTTTACAGGAGTTATTTACACGAGTTCTTTACCGGAGTTCTTTACGGTCTGATGCCGGAGTTCTTTACCGGAGTTCTTTACGACCTGATGCCGGAGTTCTTTACAGGAGTTCTTTACGGTCTGATGCTGGAGTTCTTTACAGGAGTTATTTACACGAGTTCTTTACCAGAGTTCTTTACGGTCTGATGCTGGAGTTCTTTACCAGAATTCTTTACAGGAGTTCTTTATGGTCTGATGCTGGAGTTCTTTACAGGAGTTATTTACACGAGTTCTTTACCGGAGTTCTTTACGGTCTGATGCCGGAGTTCTTTACAGGAGTGCGCAGCACATATTCGCTCCACACATCCTCTCACTCATTTGCTCTCACAAACAAGGTCTGTGAATTGAATGGTTGGTATCATAAAACACAAATCTATCCAACACAACGCTGTCAATGTCGGAAACCCATCTTAAAAACAGTTATTAGCAAGCATGTAAGAAGGAGAGCTATGTTAATGTTAGAAAACAGCTGTCAAAGCACAGTGCACATAAGTGGTAGTCAGTAGGTGCGTTCGGGATAACTGTGACTGACTTTCGCCGACTTGATAGTCTAACGTGAGCTGCAGTTGAGTGCAGGGGCGTAAAATTACAACAATGCCGTCAAGTCAGACACAATCTACCTCCGGTAGACTGCGTGAGCTTACTGTGAGCTTAGAACAATGATCAAGCTTTGCTCCCTTGAGGTCTAGCTTCTTTTTATTTGACTCCACTGAATTACATCTGAAATTGCTTTGCAGCCATTTTGTAGACAGTTTTTTAATGATTTGTAGGTTGACTCCACTTCCTAAAATTTGCAGCACTCAGTGTTCGAACAATAAATAATAATAAGTGTGTCAGTAGAATCATGATGTCAGTGTGATCCTGACCCACAGCAGAAACACGATGTGAGAAGTGTGAAGTTGTTTCATCTTCTTCTTTTTCTCCTGTTCATTATTAATTGAGTGTGTCTCGTCAAACACGCTAAAACACACACACACGTTTGGGGAGAGAGAAAAGGAAATACAATCTCCATATATGGAAAAGGACGAGTGAGGATCAGACTGATGATTGCTGACTCTCTCTCTCTCCCTGACACACACACACACACCATCTTCTACATGGCCAAAGAAATATGGACAACTCGTCCATGTCCTTGGATGGGAACACATTTACCTTTTGTCCTTCTAGACTTATTAATTGTCCTGAACAACTCAGTTTACATCAGGTCGGTCTGTTTAAAATTAGCCAACAGCAGACCCAGAGGTCAAAGGCCAAACAGGCGTCGTTCTTCATAAATACTCCTGCATCAGCTCCACAACAGCAGGAGGACGTTAACCACTAACAGTAACAAAGAAGAAGAAGAATGCAGCTTAATACAGACAATAGTTAAACCCCATGCATAAAGACCCCAAAGAACAAGTGGTCATGTGACCAACTGTTCATATAAAATATTGATTACAGGAAGAGAAAAGTTATTGAGACGGATGTAAACAAACATTGAGGACCGACTCCCCTCAGGACCATTCTTGTCCACTCATGGACATCTGGTCTCTTCGGGTCAAGTGGGTCGGTCTGTGGGAACCTCCTGATAGTTCACTGTGTGTGTGTGTGTGTGTGTGGATGTGTCTTACTCACGTTGTGGGGACATTTATCTTTTTATACAAGCTCATTGTGAGGACAAAACGGTAAAAGACCCCCCACCCTTGGTGACCAGGTGTCTAGATGTGCAGAAAGGGCCGCCAGAGAAGAAGTTTGAAAGCCCGTGGAAGAGTCTAAGTGTGAGCCTTTGTTGATTATACTGTATTTAAAAAAGCAGTCGACCTCTGACCTTTGATCTGAACTCTCCCGCTGCTCTCCGCTCTGCCGTACACGCCCTCATCACGCCGGGATGCGTTCTGGATGCTCAGCGAGGCCACACCTCCAACGTACGAGGACCGAACTCCGGCTGGAACGAGGCTTTCTGACGGAGGAAGTGTGAACATCATCATGTTACTGTTGTTGCGTTAAAGCAACACCGATCACACAGCAGCAAACACAACCACATCATGTAAATTAAATGATGATTTACTTCCTGTTGCCAGCAGGTGGCGCTATGACAGAGTGATTATTGGCATGTAGATGTGTTCAGGGCGGGACTCTGACAAATATATAGTCTGGTGCAGATGTGAGCATGTACATTTAAGTTTTAAGAACGTCCAGTTTGTTTGCGAATCATCGATTTTCAACGCCACACCACGGACGCACCCTTTCACGAAAACTCACAAATAGCACAAGTTTTCATTGTCAGTGCCTTTAGACTGTGCAGTGAAAATCTGAAGTTAATCGGACTGATTCTGTGGGAGGAGTTTGTTAAAGTACGGAACCTGTAAAACACCAAAAATTACCTTTAAATTCAAAATGCCCGACTTCTTGGCGGAATCCTAAGTTAAATATTGATAAAATGCATTTCTTTGGAAAGAGTGGGTAGACAGAGTTATCCTTTTATAAGAAAACCTATATAGCAACAATGCGCTTAAATCGTTTCAAACACAACACAACAGTATGATTTGCCAAAAACCCAATTTTGGAGATATCTCCAATTACGCCAGGTATTACAAAAGGCTTATGGATAAGGCTCGCGCTACCCAAAGTCAAAAGATAGAGGTCATGAAGCAGCACAATATTATAGAATGCTAGGTCATTATTAGGTACATAAATGCAGGTTAATTATGCATCTGATCCCTTTTAAGAGCGGGCACAGGGCGTGTACGTTTTACAGCAACAAACGAAACTGTAGGAAAATATGTTGGATAATGACGCCGGACGACTGTGTCAGTTTGGCAACTCACAGCGTTCAGCCTACATGTTGTTGACATGTTGTTAATTTGTCATTTTGTGTACTTGAACTACAGATAACCGCTCTGAGACCGCTTAGTTACGCTCTCTACATATCCACTCGGAGCATTTCAGAATAAGAGCGTTTTGCCTGCCAGATTTTTCTGACTTGTTCAGATTTTGTTAACTTGTTCAGTTATCCTTGCTTTGTGCTTCTACCATGGATGAGTAGGCTACGTAGTTAAATTGTTCCTTTTTTGTCTGCTTTAACTGTGTTTATTGTTGATATATGACTCAGTCTGCACAGGGCACTTTATTTTGAAAATCTACCAGATTCTCTACGCCTTCGCAATTAGATTTCCCCAAATAGGTCAGTCAATATGGAGGGAATGGAGGCATGTCAGCCCTGAGGCGAGCTTGGGAGAGGGATCATAAGAGAAACAGGAATGGACTAATATTTGTGGTAACTCTCGCACAATGTCAAGAGACCTGAGGGTGAAGCTTATTCAGTTGGGCTTAAAGGACTCGCCTAACTGCTGGAATATGGATGAAGGGACATTGGTACATGTACTGTGGTCATGATTATTCACTTCTGGATAAAGGTTCACTGTGGCTCACTGGGCGGCTGTGGCTCAGGAGGTAGAGCGGGTTGCCTGTTAAATTAAAGATCGGCGGTTCAATCCCCGGCTCCTCCAGGCTGCGTGTCGAAGTGTTCATGGTGGCTGTTCCACCAATGTATGAATTTGTGTGAATGTGATGTAGTGTAAAAGCGCTTTGAGTGTTCGCAAAGACTAGAAAGGTGCTTCACAAATACGGAGCATTTACTGTTATATTGTCAATATCAGGAAAAGGCAGTTTGTATTCTGTCCCAATCTATATATTTTGGCAGTAAAGTGTTATCTGCCTTTCCTCAACCACTGGGATGCTGGACACTGAAGCTGCTTTCCAGGTCCATGCAGGACGCAGGACAGAACTGAAACATATTTCCAGGTATGGGGCGGATACCCTGACACTGTACATGCGCCTGTGTAAAGTACAGATGGATGCACACTCTCTGTGGTTAATAGGCTGCAGCTGCGATAAACATTTGATGATGTCACCTTTTATTTATTTATTTACTTTCTCTTGTGTGTAGTATATTCCTGCCTAGCTTGAGATATATGTGACCCCTCTTGGGTAGGTGTGGGGGGCCTATGTTCCCATCGTGGTAACTATTTGCATGTTGTGAACCGTGATGTTGATGATTTGAATGAGAAAAATTTTTAAAAAGCCAACTTTCTGTTAGGGCATCTCTCTCAGAGGCTTTTTGGTACGTCTGCAACAAAAAGTTTGTACATTTCAGTGAAACCCGGCCCAGTGGCTGCTCTTTAGGGGGCGCCAGTGAGCCATTTTGCCTCGCCCATGCGCAAAAACAATATGACACGTAAATTGTCGCCGCGTTTGAATTTTGTGCCTCCAAAAATGGGTCTCATTTGGGGTAAAGAAAGAAAGAATTGTTCAGTTTTCATGGCTCATGCTCGGGCCCTGACTAAAAATAGCTCCGCTGATATTTGTTAGTCAAGTCAAGACAATTTATTTATAAAGCACATTTAAAAACAACCGGTGGTGAAAAAAGTTATGCAACTTAAAAAAACAGACCAATCAGATAAAACATACAGCAACATGAAGGAGAGAGAAGCACCAGCGTCTCAGAGTTGAACGCACAATAAAAATAGTTTTTTGTGGTCGGGCCTGATGATGAAGGGAAGTTTATTCCACAGTGTTGGGGCCACAACTGAAAAGGCACAATTACCTTTTGTTTTCATTCAGACTGCGGGGCCGATAAGAGGACCTGGTCTGTATATCTGAGGGGCCTCCTGGTAGTTTCACATAAATAAAGCAGGATCTGCATGAAGGCAGCTTGTTTACGGACGACTTCACACCGAGCGGAGGCCAAAGGAGCGAGTCTGGACGTGAGGGGAGACGTCGTGACCATAAATCATCTCTCCTCCTCTGCTTCCATCCAACGTTTAACTAAATTCCCATCAAATGATCCAAATAAACCCTGACCCGACGCTGCTGCGAGAGCACGAGCTGATTGGCTGACGGAGATAAACAGCCGGTGGAGCTGATTCTCCAGCCGCTGCCGTTAAACCGCCGCAGAAGAAGAAGAAGAAGAGGACACGGCGAGGTGACGTCATTACAAGAGCTGCAGTAAACCCTATGGAGAACACGATTCTGTTTGATGTGTGAATGTGAAGAAGGTCACAGCCTCCTCATCGCTCCTCACACAGCTGCTGGCGCTTCCTTTACGTCCGTTTATTCACTCTCCTTTCACACCTCAGAGTTTTGGTTTGATTTCCTGTGTTCACGTGAGCTCTGAGACGTGGATCAGGAGGACGAGGCGGCGTCCTGCAGCCTGGACACGTTTTTACTGCTGAGTCTAAAAGTCCCCACAACGTGATGAACACCGGCACAAACACACACACGGCGGATTCCCCCCGGCCGATGCCCTTCTTGGGTCGGCTTCAGCGTTTACTGTGTGTGTGTGTGTGTGTTCGCTGCTGCAGCATGTTTTGTCTTTATATGGTTTCAGCTCTCATATTTGTGTAACGGCCGCCCGACAGCAGAGCCTCTGTTCTCAGATCAGCTGCACGTCGATTCACTCCATGAGGGTCAGACCTCTGAACAGGAAGTGACACCTCCCCCAATACGTTATTTAGAGTTGTACACAAGTTGACAGTCTGTGCTCCGGACTCCAGCTGAGATTCATTTACTCCCAGAGGAGGTTGCACGGTGTGAATCAGAAACTACCGCCATGAAAGTAACCTAGACCCTACAGACTGTTTCTGAGCAGTCAGTCCTAACAGGAGCACAGAGAGTTCTAGACGATCCATCCCACGTTCTTCTTCACACTGAGTACCAGCTTTTAGTACCTTTTTCATTTGTGCCATCAGCCGGCTCAACAAGAGTCTGACACAGAGCCAAAAAAACTCCGTGTGTAATACAAACTGCTTTTGAGACACGGTGACGTGTGAAATGTTTGTAAAAGGGGACAATAAGTATATCTAACATTTCCATTTTCATTACATTGCCACATATAAACAAATAAATAATTATAATCCGTCTGCATAATGAGAACTTAAGTGAAATGTTCAATGCAGGACTGCAGTACAACATGTGAGTATTTGAGCTTCAGACTGCAGGAGGATGAAACTCGTCTCTGCGTCGTTTCCAACGCTCACTCTTTAATAAACAGACAGACGGCTGCAGGAAACGCGAGCGTTCCTCCAAACACTCGATGTTATCAGGACACGCTGGCCTCCAGCGCTGCAGCTACTTTATTTCTTCTCTAAACAAACGGACGTCTGTTTGTCTGTTGTCTTTGTGGCGTCCTGCTGCATGTGAACAGAACACACGGCGCTCAGGCCTCTGTGTGACAGTACTTCTGCGAGGCAGGAGGATGGTGGCATTACTGTGGATGGATGGAAACCTGGTCTGCAAACTCTCACAGCAGCAACATGAGAGGCAGATAAAGTGACAACGTGAGGCCTGAAGCTTCACACAAAAACATCTGGATGCTAAGGCCGTCAACATCAGGTGTCCCATTCCGAAACCCTAACCCATCACCCAGCACCGAGTCCGCCACGTCATCAGGACGCCAAAGGAGCAGGTCAAGTGTAAAGTTCTTTATCGTCAGCTACACCGCTCAGCAGGAGGGCAAAAAAGAAGCTACAAGGACCATCTGAAGAGGGCCCCCTGCACTCTGGACCCCTGCCCACATGTAAGACAAATAACACCAGAACTGCGCAACAGTGCGGGTGCCGGACTGGACTTTACAGGTTTTACAGGACCCACAAGTGGGCAGAAGCGGACGGTCATCTTCGCTTCTGATGGACTAACAATGCGTCTCTCTGTCTCTGTGTGTGTTTGCTGCCACCTGCTGGTTTAGTACAAAAATACAACTTTATCTGAGAATCTGAGAGCAGTGAACCAAAAGGACAAGCAGTGGAAACTCATACTGAGAAATATGTTAGATAATACTGTCAAATAGTACTTTAAAATTACTTTCACATTATTAGGATTTTCATTGTTTGTTATTTTAGTAATTGTTCTTTTATTTGTTTTTGTTTTTTAAATTTCACATTTGATACTGATTTTTTAATTGTTTTTTAAAAAACATTTTGTCTATTAATACACACGCACACATTTACGGTTTTATGTCTTTTTTGTAAATTGTAATATTCATTTTACTTTATTTCATATTTTTCAACACACAAACATACTTTTACTGTTTAAATGTATGAAATTAATTGTTCTTTTGTAATTTATTTGTAGCTTTGGTAATATTGTTTTTTTACAGTCATGCCAATAAAGCTGAATTGAAAGGTAAAGGAAGTACGTTCATTAACAGGCAGGAAGGTCTTACCGTGGACACTGAGCGTCCATGTTGCCGAGGTAACGGTCAGTCCATCAGCAGTGATCAGCTGACACCTGTAGGTTCCCTGATCCACCCGTCTGACTCTCTCCACGGTTAGAGTGAGACGGGTACCGTCCTGTCTCTGCTGCAGACCTGGACCCGTCCTCACCGGCCCCCCGTCCTTCAGCCAGGTAACAGCAGCAACGGCAACCGACGACACTGAGAGCGGGTGAGATGGCCGGTTACAGAGGGTTAATGCGGTCACGACTCACCACCGTCTTCACGACAACAGAGGACGTTCAGCCTCGTACACAGAGGTTTCAGGATCCACATCAGGTCCATCCTCCCTGATCACTAACGTGAGACGCTCGCTCTCAGCCTGTTCTCTCTCTCACCGCCCAAATAAGAGGACGCCACAAAGTCCAGCAATTAAATGTTGTGTTTTATTATCAGCAACATCAACAAATCTGCTCTGTGAATCACTTCCTGTTTTCTGAGAAGAAACCAGAAATTAATATTTGATGTTTGGGTTCAACGATGGCGCCCTCTAGTTTTGCATTAATCAACAGAACACAGAAGCCAGGTCTTAGATGGAGACCTTCTGTCAGCCAATCAAATCTCAAAGAAAGCAGTGATGTCACCGTTCAGGTTAGAGCAGGCTGAACCAATCAGCAGCAGCCACAGATTGTGACCAACAACCATGTTAGCTTCATGCTAACGTCTCCTTCTTATCTAACAACTTGTTAGCAGCTTGTTGAACGAGACGCCGGACAAACGTTCACCCGGGGAAAGTGCACCGCTAACAACAGCTAACAACAGCTAACAACAGCTAACAACATCTAACAACAGCTAACAACATCTAAAAACAGCTAACAATGGCTACCAAGAGCTAACAACAGCTAACAACATCTAAAAACAGCTAACAATGGCTACCAACAGCTAACAATGGCTAACAACAGCTAACAACAGCTAACAACAGCTAACAACATCTAAAAACAGCTAAAAATGGCTAACAACAGCTAACAACAGCTAACAACAGCTAACAACAGCTAACAACAGCTAACAACATCTAAAAACAGCTAACAATGGCTACCAAGAGCTAACAACAGCTAACAATGGCTAACAACATGTAACAACAGCTAACAACGGCTATAAACGGCTACCAACAGCTACCAACAGCTAAAAACAGCTAACAACGGCTAACAAGAGCTAACAACGGTTAACAACAGGTAACAAGAGCTAACAACGGCTACCAACATCTACACATGGCTAACAATGACAAACAACAGCTAAAAACAGCTAACAATGGCTACCAACAGTTAACAATGGCTAACAACAGCTAACAACAGCTACCAACAGTTAACAATGGCTAACAACAGCTACCAACAGTTAACAATGGCTAACAACAGCTAACAATGGCTAACAACAGCTAACAACGGCTACCAAGAGCTAACAACGGCTAACAAGAGCTAACAATGGCTAACAAGAGCTAACAACGGCTACCAAGAGCTAACAAGAGCTAACAACGGCTAACAAGCGCTAACAACAGCTACCAACGGCTAATAACACCTAACAACAGTCTTTCTTTATTTAGTCCCTGGTTCTCTACGCTGTGACAGACTCCCTGAAAGGTTTGATTTACCTTGGCAGGTGAATGTCACCTGCGCTCCCTCTGTGGTCTCCTGGTCCAGAGGGACGGCCTCGAACCGCAGGTTGGACCCCGACCTCCTCACAGCCCTGAAACACACAGATAATACTGAACGCAACATTACATCTCATCAACAGCTAGCTACTCAGCTAACTGCTTTCAGTTTAATCATCATGTACAAACTGTAACAACTCTGTGGTTTGATTTATCAGGACCTGCTGCTGTCTGAGCCGCTCGCTGGCTGCTGGACCGAACCGGCCTGACCTGGACCAGGACTGACGCCTGGCCGGACCTGCAGGGAGGGACGGACACACGTGAGCTGTGTCACTTCCTGTTCACCCACAAGTATAAAACAACATGATGCTGCCTTTACTATTTCCACATCCTCCAACAGAGATTCAGCTCGTTAACATTAACACGACCAAAGTCTTGAGCAGAGAAACATTAACTCAAGTACTGTGTATAAGTACTTTTCCTTTACCTGAGTTAATTTACATCCTCATGCTACTCAACATTACAGAGTCAAATACTGTACTTTTGACTCCAGCGGACCTCATTGATCCTGTTTGGAACATTTGATGGTTGTCGATTTGAAGGTCGCAGTTTGTTGCATTTAGTTTTGTGAAACCGCTCAGGTAACTTTGTCTCAAGTGTTTTATTGTAGGAGAATTAAAAAGTGTCGGAGAGGACCTGAACACATCTGGCCCAGGTGGTTGTTTTTTTCTCCCACAGTACATATTTTTCAGATTTAAGTTTTATGGGCGACGCAGAAAGGGGCGGGCCTTCACTTCTCTGTAACGAGAACTGGATGAAGTTTCTGGGTCGAGCGGGAAATGCATATTCAGAACATATGCAGCGGGCCTCAAACCCCGAGGTAAACCCAGAAGCTGGGTAAACCTTTTTGGTGTAGGCACCTGCCGTTCAATTCTTACTGGACTGAATCAACGCCATCCTCGGGTCCGGTATTCATGGTTCCACCCCTAATGTCAGTGCTGGGTTCACAACAAGTGGAGAGAACTCAGTAGATCTGTCCTGTCTCAGGGCACGACGTCTCTCATGTCTCCTGCAGATCGTTTTGTTTTCACCATCACTGAATTTGTCACCTGATGCTGTTTTCACACGTTCACAACTGCTTCCAGTGAAATTACATAATATTAATAAACACGCCATCATTCTGACCTGAGCGGCTGCAGTTCTCCTCTCAGCCACCAGAGGGGGCTGTACAGGAGGCCTGCCCCTCCAGCAGGCTGCTGGTCCGGGCTGCTGCTCCTCCTGCCTGCTGGGAGCAGCTCTGCTCCTGGTTTGCGTGGCCTCGGCTGGGTGAAGCGTCCTGCGGGAGCAGACTTCAGTATCAGCCAATAGAAACACTCATCTGTCGCCTTCATGTGGCCGTGAAGCATCTTGTTGTTGTTACAGTTTGGTGTTCCTGGGCTTATCTACAGCATCTGCTCGTGAGGACAATTAAAGCCTCGACCCTGCAGAAGCTCTCAGAAAGACGACTTCCAGGTCAGATTGATCTCTGATCACTAATCGATTCACCTGCTGAGTGCACAGGAAAACGGCAGCGGCAGCTTCAAGAAGAGGTTAAACACCAGGGGTCGTATTACAGACAGTTCCTATCCTAGCTGCTTGGTAACCATGGTAATAAGGGCTGGGAACTGACTTCAGTCAGAACAACTTTGTAAAATCTGAAATAAACTACCAGCTAGAGTTTAATAACTCTTTAATCCACATGGCTGCTCTTTTACTGCTTTTAAACTTATTAACTGATTCTACCGATGCGTTTGATGACCAAACCCTCGTTAGTAGAAATGTGACGCTGGATAATGTCTCAGTATGTCACATGATGTAAAGGCTTGATGGAACAAAGGAAGTCTTTGATAGGAGGAGATCGTTGGAGACGAGAAATACATGAAAACACGATGACGTCAGCCCGCAGCCTTTAGTATTATTATTATTATTTTTACCGTCATTAATAACTTTCCTGAGTGGAGTCGCCTACGGGTTCCTGCCGGGGTCAGTGAGGGAGCGCAGGAGGAGCCACCGCCGGGTTTCCTCTGCTCTCTGGACTCAACAGCTGCCTTTCTCTTCGTGTCTCTGTAAATGGACTGATTTTCTTTCTGACAGCATCAGCTGGCTGCAGGATGTATGGCGGTGACTGAGTCCGCTGTGTTAGCGTTACGTGGATTTGGATTTGGCGACGGAGGTTACCGACACCTCTGAGTCATCTGACTTCAAGTTCAATGATAGTTGTTGTTTCTGCTCCATTTTCAGTTTGTTAAAAAAAAACAGCGTTTAAAAGCCGTTTAGCTCGGCGAGATGAGCAGGTTGCTAGGTAACAGACATAAAAGTTGATAACCGATGTGGGATTGAGTGTTTAGGATTTGCTAACCTGAGATAAGACAGGATTCCTAAAGTTAGTTAGGATTTGCTTCTGTAATACCAAACTGAGAAAAATCCTCTCTGAGACTCTTCCTGTCTGAACTTAAGACTTAAGACCGGAACCTTCTGTAACTCGGCCCCTGGTCTGCAGTGATGATTTCGGGGAGGACTGGAGGGAACGTAACACTCACTATAATCTGCTGCCTGATATAAAACAGGAAATATACTGATTTACATCTCCGGGCTTGATGAAGTCTTTTTTATTAAGGATCAGATGAACATTTGTCTGTTCAGAGTGCAGAGCAGGAGGAACACGTTACAGTAATGTTTGGCCTGTAACGCACTAATATCTGTCATATTTTACCCGTTACAATCTCAGTAACGCTGTTACAACACATTTTAACCCGAAATTAAGTGGTGTTGTGTTTTTTAATAATTCACCAACACTGCAAAACATTTTGGCGTAAAAGAGAAACGTTATTTCCTGTTGCTGGATATTTTTACTCTCATTTGACAGTAACTAGTAATCTATAATGTGTTACAGCAGAGAGCTGATGAACTGGGTACTTTTAGGGTTCAAACTTGTTTCTGCTGAAGAAGAAGTGGCCAGTTGGTGCAGGCTAACCCTAACTCTAATTATAAAGTATGATAAAAACATCACATGGTTTAGTCTCCTGTCAGAGATCGTTTTGTGTTGGAGGGAAAGAATCTGAAACCCAGTTTGGCCCAGTTTATGTTAAAGGTGTGTAAGAACTGAGAGTCCACCTCTAAAAACACATCAGCTGCTGCTAACTGCCATTAGCTGGTTAGCTCAGTTAGCTGCACAGCTGATGGCCGTCCCATTAGCTGACTGAGTCTGACTGAGCCAGAGAAGGCGAGTGGGCGACAGAACCTGGCTCAGCAGCGTCTCTAGTTTGGCATTTTGGCCGTCGACATCTTGTTTTTTTGGAACCAGACGTGACCATATTTGGACAAGTGGGTGAAGCTAGCTAGCTTGGTTAGTTAGGTGCATTTGTAATTCAGGTTAACTGTGATATTAGCTGGGATGCTAATTTTGGCTAGCGACAAACAGGCTTAAAACGAAACGTACGGAGCGAGAGGGAGGTCGGGCATCAGAGAGGCAGCGACAGCGTGTAGAGCCAGACTGTCGCCTCTACAGGTACATAGTGGTATTACAACACAGGACTAGGCTAGCTGGTTAGCATGCCAACTACAGTTGATATCTTTGCAACACAACATCTTCTTCATCGTGTTGGCCACATCTTACACACTGCTCCTTTAAGTCCCCATGAAATCAAAACTGGAGAGTAGTGTTTCTGGGGGCCGATCATTGGACCCCCACTGATTAACGTTACTGTACGAAAACAAAAACGCATCTTTTTAACTGATTTTGGTGAAACTGGATCATATTTGATGGAGAACAATATTTTCTGGTTCTCCCTCTGATGTCCCCCGGCTGCTCTGCCTGAACTATCTGTGATTTACAGAGTTCGCTGATGAACAGACTTACAGCTTAACTTGCTGCTACAGTAACAGCTAACTGCTACCAGCTGCTGTTAGTTAGCTCAGTTAGCTGTCATATTAGCCGGCTCTGCCTGGACTGGGAGCTCGGAGCTCTGGGGGAGTGTTAGAGTTTAATGTTACACTTCTAATATTTCTCAAGACATGGAGGTTTTCAGGCCTGGGGGGTGTGTAAAGTTTATGGCCTGGGGCGGGGGCCCAGCAGGGTAGCGGCTCCAGAACGTGCGCCGGAGCCGGTGCGAGTGGGCAACCGCGTTAAGCAGCCTCCCAGTGAACACAGCCTGAACAGGACCGAACACGGTACCGAGGGGATTTAACGTTACAGAGCTTCAGGATGGAGAGAGCTTTAGTTTTTGCTAAACCGTTAAGTGCTGCTAACTATCTGTCTGCGTCTGTAGCTAGATAGCTTGGTTAACATTAGCCGGGCTGCTACCGGTCCTATTAGCTGACTCCGGTCCCGGAGTTCCAAGACCCAAACCCGGCAAGAAAACCTCCTCGGTACCGTCTTCCCTCCCGTCAGCCTGGCTCTGAGGATGTGTTCGGTCCCGGCTGCCGTGTTCTCTCGGCGGGAGCTGGAACCAGTCCATACAGAGTCTGCATGCCGGGGTGTGGGCGTAACGCACATTCAGCGCTATCGGCTACAGCAAACGTCAATCAATATTTGCGACAAGTCCCCCCCTAGCTTTGTGTTTTAACAGGAACTACGTACATATCAGGAAGCAAATAGCACTCCGGTTTCTGTTTCATGAGAACTTTAAGAGTTTGGCACTTTCTGACTGTCGAACCATCGTCTGATCCTGGAAAACACGTCTGCAGTAACACAGTTTGATACCGCCATCTTCACGAAGCTGTCAGACAGGTGAGAGAGCACACTCACCTGGAGGAGTCATCAGGAACACCTGGGAGGAGACACGGGACGGAAATATTAATATTCACTTATTCACTCTCAATCACAACCTCCTGGACTCTGATTGGTCGTCTCACCCTGGATGTTGAGTACGGCGGTGGCGGTCGCTGTTCCAGCGCTGTTGGTCACCGAACATGTGTAACTTCCTGCATCCTCCGCACGCACTTCCTGTATCTCCAGAAAGTGCAGACCAGAGCGCTCGTACATGTGGACCCGCCCACAAGACTGAAGCTCCGCCTCCCCCTGATAGAGAGTCAGACAGATGAGCCCTTTTCATCTTGGACTGATGTTACTACTAAAAGACCTTCATTAAGGTGTCAGTTAAGCTACTCCCACCTTGTACCATGTGACCCGGGGTTGTGGGCGTCCGGTTGTTTTGGCGGAGAACTTTCCGGTCTGTCCCAGTTCAGTAAACACTCGGCTCGGTTTAGTGATGAACTTTGGTGGGCTCTCGCCCCAGATACTGGGCCTGTTCTCAGCAGGGGGACACCTGGAATCATGGGAAATGGAGTTCTATGAGCATGACATGACACGGGAAGACGTCTTGGCAGTCTCCTTACAGCCTCAGCCATCTTTATGTAGAGCAGCCGTTCTCTGTTTCAGGTCCTCAGAAAGTTCTTTGCCATGTTGAACTTCCAGTGACCAGGGTGAAGGAGTGTGAGAAAGAACACCAAATTTAACACACCTTCTCACCATTCACACCTGAGACCTTGTAACACTAACGAGTCACATGACACCGGGGAGGGAAAATGGCTAATTGGGCCCAGTTTGGACATTTTCACTTAGCGGTGTCCTCACTGTTGTTGCCAGCAGTTTAGACATTAATGGCTGTGTGATGTGTTATTTTGAGGGGACAGCAGATTTACACTGTTATACAAGCTGTACACTCACTACTTTACACTGGAGCAAAGTGTCATTTCTTCAGTGTTGTCATATGAAAAGATATAATCAAATATTTACAGAGATGTGAGGGGTGGACTCATTTACAGCAGTAGCACTCTGAACCAGCGGTCCAAAATGTTAGAGGTGGAAACACCAACACCCCTCCGGCTGGCACATCTGATTTACTGGTTGAACCACACTTCTCCTGGATGATCCTCAGGCCGGCAGCAGGTCTGAGTCTGAACCTCTTTGATCAGCCGACTCTACAAACTGATCCGGAGAAACATATGACCGGCTAATGGAGGACAGAAGGAAGAAGAAGAGCTCACCCTGTTTTCATGGAGGACAGGAGGCCATATTTCTTCCCAGAATTCTCTGCAGGCGGAGAAACATGAGAGCATTAGAGAACAAAATACTGAAGGTAATTTACGATAATCCTGCCGGTTCACTGGACTTCTGATTCCTGCCTGCTCCTAGTCAGATGTGTTGTCCTGCCTCAGCCTGTTTACCTCCATGTGTGAGACAAAATCACTGACCTGCATCAGCTCTGCCTCAGGCGTCAGGTGTTACCCTGCTCACACCTGACAGTGTGCAAGGAAGAGATTAAATGAACCAATATTCATAAATATAAGCGGCCTTCTCGTTCAGTTAGCTTGTTTAGTCAATGTGCTGGTGTTTGGTTTAACGGAGTGTGAAGAAACTCCGACCGAGTCTGGATGTGTTTGAGAAACAGGAAACTCCCGTCAAGCTGTTTACGACACAGTAAAACCGGACACGCATGCACACACACAGTTAAATATCCCTCGGGTCGAGCCTGGAAACCTGCAGGATTATCAGTGTTAGAATCAGAGTTTCACCTGATCAGAACTGGATTCTTATGTCCAGGATTTATATTAATTATATTAATGAGAGTTTAATAAGAATTGTAAAGATCAACCTGTCAGCGTCCTTTAGTAGTATCGGCGGTAGTATTAGCAGGAGTAATCCTAGCATAAGTAGCATCGGCAGTATTAGCAGGAGTAATCCTAGCATAAGTAGCATCGGCAGTATTAGCAGGAGTAATCCTAGCATTAGTAGTTTCGGCGGCAGTATTAGCAGGAGTAATCCTAGCATTAGTGGTATCAGCAGTGGTATTAGCAGAAGTAATCCTAGCATTAATAGTATAAATAGTAGTATTAGCAGGAGTAATCCTAGCATAAGTAGTATCAGTGGCAGTATTAGCAGGAGTAATCCTAGCATAAGTAGTATCGGCAGTATTAGCAGAAGTAATCCTAGCATTAATAGTATAAATAGTAGTATTAGCAGGAGTAATCCTAGCATAAGTAGTATCAGTGGCAGTATTAGCAGGAGTAATCCTAGCATAAGTAGTATTGGCGGTAGTATTAGCAGAAGTAATCTTAGCATTAGTAGTTTCGGCTGCAGTATTAGCAGGAGTAATCCTAGCATAAGTAGTATCGGCGGCAGTATTAGCAGGAGTAATCCTAGCATAAGTAGCATCGGCAGTATTAGCAGGAGGAATCCTAGCATTAGTAGTATCAGTAGTAGTATTAGCAGGAGTAATCCTAGCATAAGTAGCATCGGCAGTATTAGCAGGAGAATCCTAGCATTAGTAGTATCGGCGGTAGTATTAGCAGGAGTAATCCTAGCATTAGTAGTTTCGGCGGTAGTATTAGCAGGAGTAATCCTAGCATTAGTAGTATCGGCGGTAGTATTAGCAGGAGTAATCCTAGCATTAGTAGTATCGGCGGTAGTATTAGCAGGAGTAATCCTAGCATTAGTAGTATCGGCGGTAGTATTAGCAGGAGTAATCCTAGCATTAGTAGTATCAGTAGTAGTATTAGCAGGAGTAATCCTAGCATTAGTAGTTTCGGCGGTAGTATTAGCAGGAGTAATCCTAGCATTAGTAGTATCGGCGGTAGTATTAGCAGGAGTAATCCTAGCATTAGTAGTATCAGTAGTAGTATTAGCAGGAGTAATCCTAGCATTAGTAGTTTCGGCGGTAGTATTAGCAGGAGTAATCCTAGCATTAGTAGTATCGGCGGTAGTATTAGCAGGAGTAATCCTAGCATTAGTAGTATCAGTAGTAGTATTAGCAGGAGTAATCCTAGCATTAGTAGTATCGGCGGTAGTATTAGCAGGAGTAATCCTAGCATTAGTAGTATCGGCGGTAGTATTAGCAGGAGTAATCCTAGCATTAGTAGTATCAGTAGTAGTATTAGCAGGAGTAATCCTAGCATTAGTAGTATCGGCGGTAGTATTAGCAGGAGTAATCCTAGCATTAGTAGTATCGGCGGTAGTATTAGCAGGAGTAATCCTAGCATAGTAGTATCAGTATCAGTAGTTTTATTCCAACCTTGCCGGAGGATCTCCACGGTAACCTGCCGGCTGCCGGCCCGATTGGTTGCCTGACAGGTATAACGGCCCAGGTCCTCCTCTCTGACTCCGCCCACCACCAGGCTGAAGGTGCCCCGCCCACCTTGCTCCACGACATAACGCTCTCCACCAATCACAGCCCTCCCTTCTCTGTACCACGTGACTTGAGGCTCAGGATGACCACGCACCTGAAAGACAGACGCCATCATCACCACTGGTGTGACAGCAAACTGATCAGGAGCTGCCCGGCGCCCCCTACAGGCCGCAGAACTCATTACGGACACAAAACCAACACACAACTTGCTGAGCACGCTCAATTTGTCCTGAGGGTGGCGCTAGAGGAAAGATCAGGGTGTCACAAACATGTGAAGGGTTCATCCTCTGAGGAGCAGGAAGAAGATCATCTCAGTTGGACATCAGCTACTGAAGTCAGGCCTCTGAAGCAGGACTGTACAACGGCTGTCACGAGGCCTGATACTTCAGTACTAAGCTGATGCTAAAATTCTGAAAACATGTCAATGCTCGTGCAATACGATCCATTTCAATCATCAGTAAATGTTTTGTTTTTCAATATAAACATCTCAGAGTTAGATAGAGACCACCCTTAAACATTTCACACCTGAGAGTTTGCAAAGAAAAGTTCAGAAAATTAAATAACTAAATTAATTTAATAATTAATAATGCATATTTCAAGGCAGTAATGTCAATATCTTACAGATTGACATTAACCCGCCTCTCATCTGTCCTGGACATCCTCTCACCGCTGTTAGTTGTTCAAATGTTGTATAAATAAAGGAGTCTGTGTTGAAGTACATTAGTTTTTTATCGTGGTATTAAATTGGGTATCGAGTATCATGGAATTTTACTGGTATCTGTATCGACTGCTAACTTTCTGGTATCGTGAAGTCCGTACTGTATCAGCTCCGGCTGATTTCAGGTTCGGGCTGAACTTTGTTGTTTGACGAGCACAACGCCTGATTAATTAACCAAACGACCAACGATCTGACTGTTCCTTGATCTGGTATTTTGGTTGCCTGTCTGCAGTTTGAGCAGTTTTATGGTCCGATTCGTTATAAACTGTCGTCAGCTTGTTTTTAATTAACAGCCTGCTAGCAGCTTTGTACTTGACACAGCAGTGCTAACAGCTAAACATCAGCACGCTCACATGCTGATGTTTAGCAGGTATAATGTCCATAAGTTTAACGTGTTAGCATGCTAACATTAGATAATTAGCAGTATTCACAGTGCAGATGAGGCTCATGGGATGCCTTCTAAACCAAAGAGTTGGACACACTAGCATGTTGACCTTATGGTGGCGCTAGATGAACATCCTGAGGGGAACATGAAGGTCTGATCCATGGTTCAGTCTGGAGTAAAGTGTCAGACAGACTGACATTAGTATCCACAGAGAAAACTTTATGTAAAATAGATTTACGTGTGTTTTGATGTGGGGAAAAAATGTCCAGTGAATATAATGTGAACAAATATCAGTCCTCCAGGAGCCGGCTGACCTGCAGTCTGCTCACGCTCTCCAGGAGACTCCCAGGCTCCAGTTTATTAACGATATCATCAAAAGAACGTGGAGGGAACACGTCTCTCGTCAGCAGATCCTCCAGTCAGACAGAGGCAGAAATCAAACACAAGCATTGCGTGTGTGAGTGTGTGTGTGTGCAGCATGTGGCGTGCAGATGTGGCGACTGTTTGATGACTTCGAGCTCGACTCCCATAAGGCCTTGCAGCTCCATTAATCTCCATGTTTTGATTCTCTTCACAGAGCTGTGGACTGGCGGTGCATTCAGGTGATGTGGGATTATTGACAACATTCTTACCAAGAAGACTATACACAACAAAACTGTCTTTACAGAAGACAGAGGTGAAACCAGAAGAGACACAAATCAGATAACCTGCCGGGACCTGTTGGAACCTGCCGGGACCTGCCAGGACCTGTTGGGACCTATTTGGATGTGCCGGGACCTGTTGGGACCTGCAGTGACCTGTGCGGACTTGTTGTGACATGCTGGGACGTGCATTGACCTGTTGGGACCTGCAGTGACTTTTTGGGACCTGTGGGGACTTGTTGGGACCTGATGGAACCTGTTGGGACCTGCAGTGACCTGCAGTGACCTGTGCGGACTTGTTGTGACATGCTGGGACGTGCATTGACCTGTTGGGACCTGCAGTGACTTTTTGGGACCTGTGGGGACTTGTTGGGACCGACTGGAACCTGTTGGGACCTGTGGGGACTTGTTGGGAACTGTGGGGACTTGTTGGGACCTGATGGAACCTGTTGGGACCTGCAGTGACTTGTTGGGACCTGATGGAACCTGTTGGGACCTGCGGGGACTTGTTGGGACCTGATGGAACCTGTTGGGACCTACAGTGACTTGTTGGGACCTGATGGAACCTGTTGGGACCTGCGGGGATTTGTTGGGACCTGATGGAACCTGTTGGGACCTGCGGGGACTTGTTGGGACCTGATGGAACCTGTTGGGACCTGCGGGGACTTGTTGGGACCTGATGGAACCTATTGGGACCTGCGGGGACTTGTTGGGACCTGATGGAACCTGTTGGGACCTACAGTGACTTGTTGGGACCTGATGGAACCTGTTGGGACCTGCAGGGACATGCTGGGTCTGGGTCCTGTTGTGATGTTTGTGTCTCAGAAACTAAACTGTGTCCCACCTTCCCCTCCAGTCGGGCGTCTCCCCCCAGGGCGACCCTGGCGTTGCGTGGAGGCAGGACGAAGGCTGGAGGCTCGTTGCTGAGGGAACTGCCTCCTGGTGATGGGCCTGTTACCTTGGAGACGGCAGAGGAAGCCAACCGGATGTTGCTCATCCTGCTGTCAGAGAACGAACACAGAGTGATATCAGCCAATCATCATGTGAGTCTCGGCCTCCTGCAGCAGGTTTCCTCCTCTAACCCACGTAGCTCTGCTGCTAACTGTGCTAGCTGCCATTAGCCCCGCCCCCCCATGTTCACTCTCCCAGCTTTGTATTTCTCTGCGAGGCGGCGCAGCGTTCATAATGTTGCTCACTCGTTCTCTGGTGTGAGCTGAAGGATGAACAGATGAAAGACATGCAGATAAAAACATCATGTGTGTGAACACGCCAACATCACGCCAACATGTGACTCGCTCCACATGTTTGACCTTATAAGGATGAAAAGGATCATCAGTTCGTGTTCGGTGAAGCTTCGGGTGAGTTACTGACTCGCACTTTAATTCTTGACTTCAGCTTTAAGCTTCTTCAGCCTAAACCTGGAGTCTTCCAAGGCGCTGAGGCGAAAGGGCCAGGTGCATGCTGGGACACGACAGAGATCTGACGACGGGCTCCGATGTCCATTTCCTCTCGTTTGGATCACCCAATCAGCAGCGACGTGTACATAAGCGCCGCCGTTCTGAAAGGCCGAGAAGTCAGTGTGTCTGTTTCCGCTGATTGAGGCTCTTAACTCTGACACTTCATCTCTCCTCAGCTAAGGGATTTAGTTAAGGGTTTTTACTACATTTAGAGAGATTCTACAGTCAGGGACGCACCAAATGAATCTTTCCTGAATACTGAACAAGGTTTTTCACATATATTTTGCCTTTTTTTACCCCTTGCATAAATTAAACAGTCAAAATGAGTTTTTTCCTCAGTGTTTCCCACAGGATGTGGAGAGACTATGGCGGGGGGGTCCGGGGCCCGAGAGGAGCCGGTAAAGTAAATTACATGAGTCCAATTACTTTTAATGGACACATGTAATATGTTTTATACTTTCTGTGAATATAATCCTATTAATCTTATTTCCATCCTGTACAGACGCCTTATTCTCACCTCCTCGTGCTAAATTCATCCAGTCCGAACCGGTTTGATAAACTGTGACAGAAACACTCAAAGCGGTTCTTTTCCAAGAAGTCAGCCACAGATGGAGCGGATGTGCTGGGAGACAGTTCAGCAGAACAGCGTCTGCAAACAGCTCTGACACTCTAAAATGCTCCCACACTGCCGACACGTCAACGTGACTGTTCGGTAAAATTTATTCGGTCTTTTGCCTCATTAGGCCGAACACAGAAAGTGCTTTTTTTCATGTTTTCGGACGATTAATTTCGGTTGCTGTAGATTTAGTGCATCCCTACTGACAGCAGTAAAACTGAGACTGTTTGCAACAGCACTTGAAATGTTGTGGAAAGAAACGAAGACAGGAAAACCAAATTGGTCAGAGGAGGAACGGATTGGACTGCTGGAGGAATTTAATAAAAGAAAGCACAAATTAAAAAAGCACATTTGATCCATAAATAACAGCAAACAGGAAACAGTGACGGTGGGTCCATCCAGGAGACCTAGGAGAAATCTGACAACTTTGTTCTGGCCAATAAAGAGATTTATGTCTTTTGTGCACCTGTTTAACAAAGGTTCAAGATAAGGAGAAAACTTTAGGGTGTTTTGTGCAACTGGGTTTATTTAAAGGAAACGTTAACTCTGACTTTAAGGTAACCTCCTGACCTTCCGGTCCTGGGGGATTCAGATCGACTGACAGACTCCTGGTCACTGAGCACGCTCAGTGCGAGCGCTCCATCAGACAGTTTGAGTTCCTGCTGTGTTGGTTAGATGTTTGTTGGAACAGCAAACGGTTTCATCTGAGTGGAACAAGCGGCTTGTGTTTTCAGAACAAACAGAGCCGGCCTACTGTTGGTTTTCCTGCTGTCACAGTTAAAATATGCTGCTAACACGCTCTCACATTCTCCGGCTGCCTTACATGGCTTCACAGCCGCTCACAGCTGCTAAATACACTTTATTTTTCTGTTTTTAAATACCGTTTTTATCTAAAAGTCAACCTCTGCTTCCTGCTAAGTCCACGTTAGTGCTGCAGCTCTAACGCAGGAACAACACAGCGGGTGTTGCTGTAGTAATCATGTGATTGGTTGATTGTTTCCAGACATGTTTCTGAAAATCACAAGTTAAATACGTGAAGTTCAAAACTGCAGAGAGACTCCTAATGATGCTAACGCTAATCCTGCTGCCTCTAACATGCTGTTTGTTTATAAACCAGAGTTTATTAGCAGCAGCTAATGTAGCACGTGAAGGGTTAGCACATATTCACCATGTTCAATTAGCATGTTAGTGCTAAATACAAAGCACAGCTGAAGCTGAAAAACAGAAGCTGAAGCTAATGTCGATGAAGTTAAGTTTGTCAGGAAACAGTCAGGAGCTAATCCCAAATACTAGCTTAGTGTTTTAGGTGTGAAAAATATACTCAGGTTGGATAAATACATACAAAGCTAACGTGGTTATCGATGAACAAGCTAACGTTACTGTTAATCTGGGACAATAAAACCACCTGAAACAGATTTTATTATGAAATATTATCTGGAAAAAACTGACAAAAACAAACCTTTCACGGTTTTAATGTCAGAGTTTATATCTTTGTGTTGCCTTTAAAAACTAAAAATACATAAGTTTAGGTCTTTTCAACTCGCTGACATTAGCGTCTCTACTTTATAGTATACAGTAACAGCATTTACAATACACGATATGCTATATGTGCATTTCAATGATTTAACTACTTTATTATGACCACCTCCAAAACAAAAACCTACTCTTGGAAATTAGCTTTGCTACCTTTAGCATTAAGTTTTGCTGAAATGTTAAAGTTAAAGTTTTATTTGCTCTGTAAACAGAGGTGACATGCAACTTAGTACATTTACTCAAAGTAGAATTTTGAGGTACTTGTACTGTAAGTATTTCCATGTTCTGAGAGCATATTTTGTACTTCTTTACATCTATCTGAGATTATTATTACAAAATATAAAACAACATTATAGATTAAGCTAAGCGGCAGAATATAAAGTCAGCTTCACCTGCTGCAGCATTAAAGTGATTAACACATGAATGCAGCAATAATTATTATCCAGTAATCTAATACATATTATTAGTATGCATTATCTGTACTTTTACTTTTGGTACTTTTATTTTGATGGTAATACTTTTACTTTCACTAAGATATTGAATGCTTTTACTGTGACTGAAGTAAAACATGTGAGCACTCCTTCCTCCACTGACCTTGGCTGCGTTTAGAGCGAATGAGGAAACAGGAAGAAGAATTTACTGATACCAGATGTGGGGGGAGCACCTGATGGACGATCGATCTGACAAATAATTTCTTCTGACGATCAGCTGACTTCACACGGAAACCGAGATAACAGACGACCTCGCAGCAACACAGAAACCAGAGGGCTGATGGGAATGTTTGCAGTCAGCGATTCAGTTGTTACACAGATGCTGAAACACACCAACACACACTCAGTATCAGTGTAAAGACAGAGCAGCTTCCCACCATCGAGCCAAAACTCAGCATGAGAGAGAGAGAGAGAGGTGAAGCTCTCTCGCCCATCTGCACTTGTCATCAACACAGTTTATCATCAGGAGGGAAACTTTTCTCTCCCAGTTTCTGCTGAAAACAAGCAGGAACCTCCGGGTCTGAAGAGTGAAGCCTTAAACCTGCGTCCTCTCCAGCAGCCAGCAGGGGGCGACTCCAGCAGCTGCAGAAAGAAGTGTGACTGTATAGAAGTCTATGAGAAAATGTTTCAACTTGTCAGCTGATTTATTCCCTCAGTAAACACTTTCCTGATGACTTTATGGTCTCAGTCGCTAGTTTCAAGTCTTCTTCAACACAGCAGATTGGTTTGATATAAACATGCAGAATGCTAATATAGGCAAATGAAAAAGAATTACAACGTAAAGGTACAAGATGTAAGAAGGGATAATGAATGTTTTAAATCTTACACATTACACCTTTAAGATCACAGAACCGGTCAGAAAAATCAAACTGAAGTTGGACACCAGAAGAGAAACTCCTGCATCGTCTTTACAACACAAGAATCATAAAGTTTTTATACCCTCTTTAAATCATCACACATATACACGTGTAAATCTCCTGAAGCAAAACAGGAAGCAGCAGAAGATCAGAAACGATCAACTATCAGATGCTGAAACAGTTTTAGACGTTCTGTCCAGAATAAACTTCAAAGGCAACTTAAAGAAAAGTTCCCAGCATGCAGCAGAGTTCATTTACAGGTTGAGTCCTTTAATCGGAGGAGATTCCTTCATGTCAGTCGACCGTTTCACAAACATCCTCAAACACTGAAGACGGTTTCCCACGTTCATCCAGGAAAAGTCACAGCTTGAATCATTATTCTGATTTTATCAATTATTTCAATGAACAAACAACAGATATTCTGATATTCTTGGTGCAAATAATGATGTAAATAAGTCTTATTTAATGTTTTGTTATGTGAGGGTCACTTGGGTTTATGGTAATAATCTGAATATTTTTTAATTAAACATATTTTAAGGGACTCTTATTTTACCTCCAAAGTTTGGACTAAATTAACTGATAAACTTATTATAAAGTTATTGTAAATTTATTGTTTATTTATTAGGTAGTAAAAACTGAAGGTGTTCAGTTTCAGAATAAAATAAAAGTTACAACAACAAAGTTATTAGGAAGAAATGATCATTTAAGACTTTTCTTTTCTTGTTTGCAGTGTATTTAAACCAAACTGTCTGTGCACATTAAACGCGTTGATCAGAATTAAACTGATGTTTGTTTTGTTTGTGATCACGAGCCGCGTGGAGCCGCTGACCCCGCCCACCTGAGGTCCGTTAGTTTTAAAAACCGACAGAAAGAAAACACACACTCACACTTCAGTAACAGATTAAACAGCAGAGTTAAAGTGTCTCAGATGGAGGAAGAAATAAAAACAGACTTACAGAAAGTTTCTCCCGTGACTCTCTGAAGAAAGAATCTGAGCTTCACAGCGGAGCTTTCTTCACCTGAATAATCAGGACATTCATCACCAGATCCCTCCTGCTTTCTAGTTTAACCTCCGCCTTCCTCCTTCAGTGTTCACTGTTCTCCTGCTGCTCCGGTGGAAACTCAGTCTGTCTGAAAACAGGAGCTGCAGGAGGGGGAAGATCACAGGGGCGGAACGACTGATTCTAGGGCCCCCAGTGGCCCCCTGGACCCCCTCTGCTCTTGGTAGTAGCCTGTGCTATTTTTAGCATCTGATTAATGCTGATTTCACACACAACGTGATTTTTTAATTCCTGTTGCATTTATCACGTAGGTTTGACTGCCAAACTGGGCTCCCGCCTGTTTATTCAGCCATGCTTCCAGTCAGCAACTATAACACAGGCTAATTCCTTTGTGGTAAAGTGGTAGTTAATGATTATAGCATTAGGTTTTGAGTTTGCTTGTATTAACTGCAACCATGTGTGGAGACAATAACACCACCCTATAAAAACTAAGCCAGCACCTGCCTGTGGATGGTATTGTAGTAACAGCTGGGATGGAGTAAGGATTCACCCTTCACTGTCCACCTATTACCATTCAATAGGGTTTCATTATTGAATTATTATTTATTAATAGGTGAGCAAACCACTTTTTGAAACTCTTTTTTTATTGGTCACTGATTCCAGAGTGGTGTCCTGCATTTCTTAGTCTTTATTAATATTTTTGTAAAATTAATAACTTTGTTTTATAATTGATAGTTTTGCTAATAACCAAACCTGCCCCTACCAGATTCCAACAATGTTGTTATAAGAAAAGTTTCTTTTATTTTTATATTTGGTGTGTACGAATAAAAAATAACGCATTTAAAAAAAATTGGCATAATGAAATACGTAATTATACAAATAATGATCATCATAATTTGATGTATATAAGTAAGTAGCTACAATACATTTTAATGACTTAATAATAATAATGATAAATTAATAATCAATTAGTGCAAAACGTCTAAAGCAGTTTAATGCTCTTATAAAACACACAACATGAGATGATAAAAGAATAATATTGAGAACATTTTCTATTTTAAAGTGAAACTGTACAAAGAAACAGGATATTATTTACATTAACAAAACACACATTTACAAGATTTAAAAGATCAACCACTCTTGCCTCTTTTCCTGAACACACCAGCTGGTGTTAAAAACTTCATACTGATTTGATGTTACACACTAAAAACCTTCATTTCTAGAGGCTGTAAACCTTTAGACCATAAAAACAGAAATACTGACAGCTGTAAGAGAACCAGGCCTTCATTTCTTGACAGAAATTCAGTTTTCATCCACTAAAAATTTCCAAATGATTCAACTTGCTGTTTTCTATGCTTAACGGTGCAATGTGTAAGAGTTGCAAGATTTTGGCCACCTGTCGAAATCCCACTCCAAACAAATAGAGCCTAAGTCCCTCCCCTTCTTGTGGACTACCATGTATGCTAGTCAACGGCGAGAGACAACTAATGTTTAGACCCCGTTTAAATTGTGTCCTGATTACACACGTTTCTCAGTTTAAAAGATAATTTCGATCAAGAAAGTCTAAGAGTCAAGAAAGTTTAAGACTGTGAAAATATGTAATTACAAAGACCACAAACCCAAAAGTTGCGAATGTGACGTCATACCTGTTTCTGTTAATGACTGAAGCTAACTACTCTGAAGACAAAGTCACTGACGCTAACATCTCTGAAGCCAACGTCTCTGAAGCCAAAGTCACTGATGCTAACATCTCTGAAGCCAAATTCACTGACGCTAACGTCTCTGAAGCCAAAGTCACTGACTCTAACGTCTCTGAAGCCAACGTCTCTGAAGCCAAAGTCACTGACGCTAATGTCTCTGAAGCCAAAGTCACTGACGCTAACATCTCTGAAGCCAACGTCTCTGAAGCCAAAGTCACTGACGCTAACATCTCTGAAGCCAACGTCTCTGAAGCCAAAGTCACTGACGCTAACGTCTCTGAAGCCAACGTCTCTGAAGCCAAAGTCACTGACTCTAATGTCTCTGAAGCCAAAGTCACTGACTCTAACGTCTCTGAAGCCAAAGTCACTGACGCTAACGTCTCTGAAGCTAACATCACTGAAGCCAAAGTCACTGACGTTAACATCTCTGAAGCCAACGTCTCTGAAGCCAAAGTCACTGACTCTAACGTCTCTGAAGCCAAAGTCACTGACGCTAACGTCTCTGAAGCTAACATCACTGAAGCCAAAGTCACTGACGTTAACATCTCTGAAGCCAACGTCTCTGAAGCCAAAGTCACTGACGCTAACATCTCTGAAGCCAACGTCTCTGAAGCCAAAGTCACTGACTCTAACGTCTCTGAAGCTAAAGTCACTGACGCTAACATCTCTGAAGCCAACGTCTCTGAAGCCAAAGTCACTGACTCTAACGTCTCTGAAGCCAAAGTCACTGACGCTAACGTCTCTGAAGCTAACATCACTGAAGCCAAAGTCACTGACGCTAACATCTCTGAAGCCAAAGTCACTGACTCTAACGTCTCTGAAGCTAAAGTCACTGACGCTAACATCTCTGAAGCCAACGTCTCTGAAGCCAAAGTCACTGACTCTAACGTCTCTGAAGCCAAAGTCACTGACGCTAACGTCTCTGAAGCTAACATCTCTGAAGCCAACGTCTCTGAAGCCAAAGTCACTGACTCTAACGTCTCTGAAGCCAAAGTCACTGACGCTAACGTCTCTGAAGCTAACATCACTGAAGCCAAAGTCATTGATGCTAACATCTCTGAAGCCAACGTCTCTGAAGCCAAAGTCACTGACGCTAACATCTCTGAAGCCAACGTCTCTGAAGCCAAAGTCACTGACGCTAACATCTCTGAAGCCAACGTCTCTGAAGCCAAAGTCACTGACGCTAACGTCTCTGAAGCCAACGTCTCTGAAGCCAAAGTCACTGACGCTAACATCTCTGAAGCCAACATCTCTGAAGCCAAAGTCACTGACGCTAACGTCTCTGAAGCCAAAGTCACTGATGCTAACGTCTCTGAAGCTGACATCACTGAAGCCAAAGTCACTGACGCTAACATCTCTGAAGCTGACATCACTGAAGCTAAAGTCACTGACGCTAACATCTCTGAAGCTAACATCACTGAAGCCAAAGTCACTGACGCTAATGTCTCTGAAGCCAAAGTCACTGACGCTAATGTCTCTGAAGCCAAAGTCACTGACGCTAACGTCTCTGAAGCCAAAGTCACTGACACTAACGTCTCTAAAGCCAAAGTCAGTAACGCTAACATCACTGAAGCTAAAGTCACTGACGCTAACGTCACTGAAGCTAACGTTATTGAAGCTAAAGTCACTGAAGCTAACGTTGCTGAAGCTAAAGTCACTGAAGCTAACATCTAACAGCTTCCATGTGTAGATCATGTAATGAAAGTACCAGGAGTTGTTGGATTAAACACATCAGGTGAGATACACCTGTGTGTGGAACATAGTTAAGCTACCTAGCTTTACTAACTTTACCTTAGCATTACACCACAAACATATTGGTGACGTATATTGTGCAAGACGAGAAATGTATTTCATTGAATGGTTTCACACAAAACTGAAGCTAACGTTATTATTTAATTATCTTTTAAACTGACAAACATCTAGTGTGTAATTCAGGACACAATTCTAACGGGATCATGACATTAGTAGTCTCTCTCTGTTGACTACTGTACATATTTTTTCCGGAAAAAAGGGCCCACGAGGCGGAAGCGGAAGAGAGGGACAGACTGTCACCAGAGGAACTGCTAACTGCGGCTAGTTGTACGGCTATCTGAACTAACTCGCTAAAAGCAGCTACAGTTAGCAGCCTTATTAGCTGACTCTGCCCATCCCGGGAGCACCAGGGGAGTGTTTGTGCCGGCTTGGAGCGACGCTGGAAAGGGCATCAAAACCGGAGCCAGGCAAGCGGGCAACAGAACCAGGCTCAACAGCCTCCCAATGAACATAAACTTAAATTAATGGATTAATTAGTTTGAGTAATTTTTAATAAATCTTTTGATCGCAGCTTCTCAAATGTTAATATGATCTGGTTTCTTTGCTCTTGTCACAGTAAACCGAATATATTTGAGTTGTGGACAAAAAAAAAAGACATCTGAGGAAGTCATCTTGGGCTTGACAATGAAAAGAATCGTTAGTTGCAGCCCTACTGAACGCAGCCTCCGAGACCGACGGAGGCCAGTTAGGCGACAGGGAGTACGAGGTGGTTTACAGCAGCTCCGCCCAGAACTCTGACTCCAGGGAAGACGCCGACGCAACGGCTTCAGGAGAGGCATCCAGCAGGAGAGGAGTTAGAGGGAGGTCAGGCATCAGAGAGGCAGCGACAGCATGGCCCCGAGCCCCCCCCCCCTCCCTGCCAGTGTGCTCCCACCATTTTAAACATACTGATGGTGAGTATGACACACTGATGGGATCAGTGCTGGTGAGTCAACAAGTCTGACTCAACATGAGCCAGTCAAGTCCTCCAACTCCTTCATCTCTTCCTCTTTCACCTCCACCTGCAGCACGTTAACATCAACCGGAGCTGCGAACGAAACACAGGTTATTACTTCATCTGACCGGCTACACTGACGGACCACTCGCTAACCACCACCCTCAAACGGGGACTAAAGGAAAGGATTAAACTGTGTGTTTATCTGCTCTAATGAAACTGCTATTGTTAGCATGTCTGGGTAACAAACGCTACGGTCAAGGATTAGCGTTAGCATATCATTGGCAAACTGATATTTTTTCTGGGGTTAGAGGTTATGTTAAAAACAGATGCTATCAGAGTTTAGCTAACGTTTGCGGCTCTGTCCTGATCTTTATGACATGAGGAAGTTTACTATGTCAAATCATTCGAACATTTTTTCCTTAAAACTTACTAGTCGCTATTTAAAAGTGACTAGTCAGTTTTATTTATTAGTTACTGGTAACTACCACTGTGTTACTATCAACAATTGATTAGATTCTAGTGCCTAGTTTTTAGTTAGCAGTAACTATTCCATTAGTTACTAGCAGTGTTGGGCAAGTTACTCTGAAAGTTACTTATTACTACTTAAAAAAATAACAATATTACTTTACTTATTACTGGGTGATAAAAGTAACTAGTTACGTTACTATTAAATCCCGACTTTTGACCTTGCTTTTACAAAACGAAAAACGTTGCTTAACGCTGTGCTCTCCTGACAAGTGCATCATCACTGGCAGCAGCGGCTGGAGTTTCTTTCAAATTCAAATCAGCTTTATTGGCATGAATGTATAGCAACAATTTTGCCAAAGCCACATGTAAATTACTTAAAAACTTACAATTAATTTAATACATTTCATTAAATAAGGAAATAAAACAGTAAAAGGTGTGTTTGTGTGTGTTAATAAAAAATGAAATAATAAAAAAAATATATAAAATATACAAATTCTGTAAAAATAAAAGTAAATAAGTAAAACAATAAGCGTGTGTGTGTGTTAAAAATAAACTAAGTAACACATTAACGTGTGTGTGTTATATTATAATAATATATTAAAAATAAAAATAAAATACTTGTGTGTATATTAATTTAATTATTAGTAATTATTTAAAAAACAAACAAAAAAATCAGTATCAAATGTGAGATTTAAAAACACAACAATTACTAAAATATCAAACAATCAAAATAATAATAATTTGAAAATTTGTACAATTATTTATCAGTCTGAGTTTCCACTGGTTGTCCTCACTTCAAGGCATGAGGAGACATATTTTGCAGCAATTATATCACATTTGAGCATTTCTCCCAGTAAATAAGGGAGTTTCTGTGGGTCTGATAGAAATTCGAATTCGGGGTATATTTAGGAAATGTTTGCACATTGTTTTTATTTTAGTGTTTTATATTTAGGGCATGAGGTGAGAAAGTGCAGCTCTGTCTCTACCTGTCCTCTGAGTCTCTACCTGTCCTCTGGGTCTCTCCCTGTCCTCTGTCTCTGGGTCTCTACCTGTCCTCCGGGTCTCTCCCTGTCCTCCGGGTCTCTCCCTGTCCTCCGGGTCTCTCCCTGTCCTCTGGGTCTCTACCTGTCCTCTGTCTCTGGGTTTCTCCCTGTCCTCTGAGTCTCTACCTGTCCTCTGTCTCTGGGTTTCTCCCTGTCCTCTGAGTCTCTACCTGTCCTCTGGGTCTCTACCTGTCCTCTGGGTCTGGTTCTCTCCCTGTCCTCTGGGTCTCTACCTGTCCTCTGGGTCTCTACCTGTCCTCTGTCTCTGGGTCTCTCCCTCTCCTCCGGGTCTCTCCCTGTCCTCTGAGTCTCTCCCTGTCCTCTGAGTCTCTACCTGTCCTCTGTCTCTGGTTCTCTCCCTGTCCTCTGGGTCTCTACCTGTCCTCTGGGTCTCTACCTGTCCTCTGTCTCTGGGTCTCTCCCTCTCCTCCGGGTCTCTCCCTGTCCTCTGAGTCTCTCCCTGTCCTCTGAGTCTCTACCTGTGCTCTGTCTCTGGGTCTCTACCTGTCCTCTGGGTCTCTCCCTGTCCTCTGGGTCTCTCCCTGTCCTCTGGGTCTCTACCTGTCCTCTGAGTCTCTCCCTGTCCTCTGAGTCTCTACCTGTCCTCTGTCTCTGGGTCTCTCCCTGTCCTCTGAGTCTCTCCCTGTCCTCTGAGTCTCTACCTGTGCTCTGTCTCTGGGTCTCTACCTGTCCTCTGGGTCTCTCCCTGTCCTCTGGGTCTCTACCTGTCCGTCTCTATCTGTGTCTTCTCTTGTGGTAGCCAGCTCTGTCTGTGTCGACCCTTTTCTACGTCCAGGCTGTGTTCACTCAGTCTGTATGTTGTCAATATTTTTCTTAGTTTAGGTTAGTTTATTGTACTCAGGTAATTTGCCAGTGTGAATTCTCTTTTTAGGGTCAGATAACACTGTAATTTACTTGTTTGTGTTTTGGTTGTTTCTTTCCAGTATTCAATATATATTTATTTTTGCTTGTTGATGTTTCATGTTACTGTGCTGCTTCAGTAAATCAGATGTAGAACTGCAGCTGAAAGCATTTTGCTGGTCGCACAGAGTTTACAATGTTCTTTGCATCTTAGACTGTGACACAGCAATGGCAGTAGATACTTACAGCTGTGGAAAGAACCCCTTACTCCCTTGTTCTCCGTTCTTCCTTTAGCTTTTTGGCTAACAGCTGACTTGAACAATATCAGGCCCGGTGCCGCTGACCTGCAGCACGGTCGAGCATTCAAGTCAAGAATGCTGCGTTCAGCAACGCAGCATTACTTGGATTAGTAACTGTAATGTTATTACTGTTTTGGAAATAGTAATCCCAATAAAATAAAACGTTATAAATGAATGACTAGTAACAAAAAACATTTACAAGGAGGAATAAAATTGTTACTAGTATCTAAATAATAGTGACTAATAAAAGGGGATTAGTTACTAGTAACTAATGAAAGTTACTAGTAACTAATTTAAAGTACTAGTATGTAAATAATAGTGACTAGTAAAATGGAACTAGTAACTAATGAATAGGTGATATCTGAACTGCAGAGCCTCGTAGATTTTAATAGCACTGTGCAATTAAATAATTAAGAACTACTAATCAATAGTGTCTAGTAAAATGTGAATAGTTTCTAGTAACTAATGAGTAAGTACTAGCAGCTTTTAAATAGTGACTAAGTTTTAAGGAATAAATGTTCAAACAGATTGCCATAGTTTACATTCAGCAGCTGACATTAACAAAGATAATCTTACGTTAGCCAAACTGTTGATTAAGATCGACTTTCCTCTTTTAACATTCAACCTGAAACATACTGACTGAAAACTTGAACAAGACTTTAACTAGCTCGACAGACACTACATGTGTGGTTACCGTCCTCACTTTGGGCAGCAGAGTTGATGATCTGCAGCTGGACGTTCTCTCCGTTCGGTAGAACCACCTGCTGGGTTCCTTCACCAGGCTGCCGCCCCTCATCGAGCACCTCCTCTGGGCCCCACGCCCCCGCTGACTCCCCAACAGGAGTCTGCAGGAAGGAAGAGGGAGGAGGAGGAGGAGGAGGGAGCGGCTGCAGGATTCCCTGTCAGAGGAAACACAGTTTATACTTCAGCCCCACTGGGACTGATTGGGAACCGATTGGCGTTTTCTGACCTGCAGCTGAGCAAAGATCTTCGGCTGCAGAGACGAGAGAGAAGTGAAGAGCTGAACAGCTTCAGGAGACAAAGAGTCCACAGCTGGAGACATAGAGTGGAAACGTGGATTACAAGGACAAAGTATTGTCTACAATGCTGCATTCAGTTTAACCTACATTTGGAGTCCAGTAGATGTGGCGTTGAGGAGAGCGATGTGTTAAAGTGATTACAGTGATTTTACAGTATTGATGGCGCAGATATTTGTAGGAGCAGCTTACTTGAAAAAGGTGTCAGTCTGTCTGGCTCCAGCTTCCAAACATGGACGACTGAGTGATCGACTCTGTGGTCAGTTAGAACATCGTCTATCGCGAAATAACTGCTTTACGAGGGGAACTGAAACTGCTCGTTTTGTTTAGACATTCTCAATTCAGTGCAGTGAATAATACGAAGTTCAATAACACGTAACGTTCTTGTAAGCCGTGTACTAGGTTGCTCTGTAAAAACCTCGTTGATAAAACAAAACTAAAACGACACATGAAACAAGTGGAAAGTCCGCCTTCACGGTTGAATGCATGCACTCTCCCGCGGCAGGGGAACACTTTCTATCAGGGATAACCACCTTGGGACGACACCGGACAGTGGCGGCGTAGCGTCCTAAAGGATCCGACTAGTTGAGACACATTTGTATCAACGCCATAACGTCGCAAGGAAGATATTATTGTAGAGTTTTCGTTCAGAGGGGGGCCATAGGGGGGTCCAAGGTCTGTGTTACAGGAGCACTGGCCCCTGTTGGCTCCCCTACAAAACCTGTGTAATGTGTTATTTTGAGGGGACAGCAGATTTACACTGTTATACAGGCTGTACACTCACTACTTTACACTGGAGCAAAGGGTCATTTCTTCAGTGTCAAAGATATAATCAGATATTTACACAAATGTGAGGGTGGACTCACTTTGTGAGACACTGTATAAATAACAGTTTAATATATTGTAATGTAATCTGTATAGTCATTATTAGATGATATAGTTCAGACATGATGGATGCTACAGGATCTACACACTTGATCAGTCTTCTCTCCGTGCTGCTGTATCATATGAGATCAATAAAGTTTGATTGCGTGAGTTACCTTGAGCAGCAGGACTCAGGGTCAGGGTGGCGGCCTCCATCACAGGATCACTTCTGTCTTCTGTCCACTAGAGGGAGACACTGACTTCAGACCACAGACCTGATTCAAAGCTGAAGCATCGACCAAAACACGAGTCAAACATTTGAGTAACATCTCATCTCCTCTCAAGAACCCTGTTTGGATTCAGACTCAGCTGAAACGTTATCATAATATCCATTTTCTTATTCTATCTATGGATGATTGCCTCCCCAGCCCTGCACACTGCCCCTGTACCTGTCACTGTTTCTGCTTCCATCGTCCTCCTTCTGCTGCAGCTCCTCCTCTTCCTTCTTCCATCAACTGTTGTTTATAACATATATAAATATATAATATGGCCTATATGCCTATACATAAATGCATTTATAAATAATCTCAGGTTATAATAGCATTACTTATCAGTGCCTGTGCTGGCTCTGCCTCAGCACCTGTCCACCAAGGAACAGGTCGGTTAATTTGGCGCATTCAGCTGCCTCTTGTGCCAGCTTTTTTCTTCTAATTTCACATTTTACCCCCTTTCTTTCTTTCTTTCTTTCTTTTCAACCTGTTCTGTTGTCACACAACCCTGGGCTGATTTCAGCCACGACAAAACGTATTGAGAGTAAACTCCCAGTTGGAAAGTCCTTTCAGATTTCAGCAAAAACTCGGATCGGTCCAAGTTGGGAGGGGCCGCTCGTATCCTCAATACTGAAAGTATATATTCTGATAAGTCTGATAGACACACAGACGGTCACGGATCATGAACATGAATAAGAAACTGAAAAATAAAAGCTATTGAACAGCGGCTGGTTCGGCCTGAAATAGACCGCCTGTTCGGGATTGTTCCCTAAATTCCCGTTGGCCAGTCCGCCCCTGCTCTCAAGCTTTAAACCTGCAAGTTGCCTTTATTATAAATTATTCTGACATGAAGCGTGTCTCCTGGTTTGAAGTGAATTGAAAACACGGTGTAGTATTCTGATGAATGTCTACCTGAGGGTCTTCGAACAGTTTCAACGCTTCACTTCAACCGAGAGTTGACACTTTGTGATGTTTCAGCTTTTAAATTTAAAATACAAATAAAAAGTGTGTGTGTGTGACCTCAGCGGTGGTGGTCAGCCCCAAGGCCTTCTGGGATTCGTGGATGTGGTTCTTGATGTCGTTGACAGTGGGGAAGTATCTCAGGTCGTGTCTCTCTGGAGGACTGATGCATTTACACAAGTCCTTCTCCACAAACCGCCTGAACACACACACACACACACACACACACAGCCTGTAAGTCCAGGTAACTGACGTCATCGATTGCGTATGTGGATCACAACACACCTGCGGTGGTCACAGGTGCGCTTCCTACCTGAGCTGTTTGCGGACGCTGTAGACCTGACGGTGACCTGCAGCCACCAGCTGTCTGATCTTCTCTGCCACCTGAGGGTGGAGGCGGGACGGGATGACTCCATCCTGGGGGGGGGGGGGGGGTTAGCATGCTGCTAATACAGAGATGCTAACAACAAACTGCCATCATCATCACTTCAAACAGCCAATAATCAAAATCTACTTCCTGGTTTCTCCTCTGGCGCCACCTTCAGGACAGACTTTACATTACTGGTACCGACTCCTGGAAACTCCTCAAGGACCTCCACAATGTTTTAAAGGTCTCCTGGAATGTCTTCAGAAACTTCCTAAAGGACTTCATACAACCTTCTCAAAGACCCTCCAGGACCTCCACAGGACCTCCTTGAACGTTCCCAAGGACCATATAACCTCCTCCAGTAACCCTTCCTTCCAGGACTTGTAGAACCCTCTTGATAACTCCTTAGATCACCTCAAGGACTGCTTCCTCAAGCATCATTTAACCCTTCTCAAGGTCAGAAACTCTATGTGGACTACTGAATCCCCCTCAACGACCCCTGGAATCCACTCAAGGATTCTTAAATCAATGCTCTGAACCTCCTGAGGGCCCCTAAAACTTCCTAAGGGACACAAGGACGCATTGCACATCCTCAAGGACTTCCTGACATTCCTCCTGGACTCTCTAGTGACGTCTGAACCCTCAGTCTGTAGAGTCTCCTACCGGCTCTCCTGTCTCCTCTTCCTCTTCCTCCTCTGGCTGTGTGGGGGGAGGGGGGAGGTCAGGGGGAGGTGGGGGGATGGGGTCCACAGTGTGATACAGGTGAGCTCTCTCTGTGGGGAGCTGCAGGTAGAACCTGCAGACAGAAACGGGTCAGCATGATGTAGAGTCCAGCAGCAGGTTAAAGGAGAGAACATGTTGTACCTGATGACTCCACCTGTCTCCAGGTTCTGGTTCTTCAGGTTCTGGAAGGCCTTCTCCTGCTCCTGCCTCACCATCTTCCTGTCCGCCGCCGGCTCCGTGGGAACTCTGAACTCCGGAAACTTACGAACTTTCTTTATGTAGATCCTGAAACAGATGAAGGTCACTGAGCGGCGCTCACCTTTCAGATCACCTGGACAGGTGGCTCTGTGTGTGTAGTTTACCTGGCGTGTGTAGTTTACCTGGCGTGTGTAGTTTACCTGGCAGGACAGGTGGCTCTGTGTGTGTAGTTTACCTGGCGTGTGTAGTTTACCTGGCGTGTGTAGTTTACCTGGCAGGACAGGTGGCTCTGTGCGTGTAGTTTACCTGGCGTGTGTAGTTTACCTGGCGTGTGTAGTTTACCTGGCAGGACAGGTGGCTCTGTGTGTGTAGTTTACCTGGCGTGTGTAGTTTACCTGGCGTGTGTAGTTTACCTGGTGTGTGTAGTTTACCTGGCAGGACAGGTGGCTCTGTGTGTGTAGTTTACCTGGTGTGTGTAGTTTACCTGGCGTGTGTAGTTTACCTGGTGTGTGTAGTTTACCTGGTGTGTGTAGTTTACCTGGCGTGTGTAGTTTACCTGGCGTGTGTAGTTTACCTGGCAGGACAGGTGGCTCTGTGTGTAGTTTACCTGGTGTGTGTAGTTTACCTGGCAGGACAGGTGGCTCTGTGTGTGTAGTTTACCTGGCGTGTGTAGTTTACCTGGTGTGTGTAGTTTACCTGGCAGGACAGGTGGCTCTGTGTGTGTAGTTTACCTGGTGTGTGTAGTTTACCTGGCGTGTGTAGTTTACCTGGCAGGACAGGTGGCTCTGTGTGTGTAGTTTACCTGGCGTGTGTAGTTTACCTGGCAGGACAGGTGGCTCTGTGTGTGTAGTTTACCTGGCGTGTGTAGTTTACCTGGCGTGTGTAGTTTACCTGGTGTGTGTAGTTTACCTGGCAGGACAGGTGGCTCTGTGTGTGTAGTTTACCTGGTGTGTGTAGTTTACCTGGTGTGTGTAGTTTACCTGGCGTGTGTAGTTTACCTGGCGTGTGTAGTTTACCTGGCAGGACAGGTGGCTCTGTGTGTAGTTTACCTGGTGTGTGTAGTTTACCTGGCAGGACAGGTGGCTCTGTGTGTGTAGTTTACCTGGCGTGTGTAGTTTACCTGGTGTGTGTAGTTTACCTGGCAGGACAGGTGGCTCTGTGTGTGTAGTTTACCTGGTGTGTGTAGTTTACCTGGCGTGTGTAGTTTACCTGGTGTGTGTAGTTTACCTGGCGTGTGTAGTTTACCTGGCGTGTGTAGTTTACCTGGTGTGTGTAGTTTACCTGGCGTGTGTAGTTTACCTGGCAGGACAGGTGGCTCTGTGTGTGTAGTTTACCTGGCGTGTGTAGTTTACCTGGCGTGTGTAGTTTACCTGGCGTGTGTAGTTTACCTGGTGTGTGTAGTTTACCTGGCAGGACAGGTGGCTCTGTATGTTCCCTCTGCGTGTTCACAGCTCCTGTTCGGCTGCTGTCCCTTCCTGCGAGGTCCGAACTGACACTCCATCACGATCGCTCTGCTGCCTGAAACACAGACTAAATGCTGTCTGTCTTTCTTCTTCTTCTTCTTCTTCTGTCCTTTAATTTAGTGGTGGAAGAACTACAGTTTTTCAGAGTTTAACTGATCACAGTCTGAACCAGCTGCTGGAGATAAAGTTAGAAAACAGATCAAATGTATTAAAGCATCATTAGGCAGAAATCCTGGACCTGTGTTGACGAACGGGATGCCGTCGTAGGGGACGTACTGAGACTTCCACATGAGTCTGGTTGCTGGTTTGTCCACAGACGGAGACTGACGGGTCCCGAAGACACAGCCGGTCTGCTGCTTATGGAGCAACAAGATGGCCTCCAGCTCGGCCTCTGAACAGCAGAAGCCTCTGTAGGAGTCTCCCAACTTCTGCTGACACCAGAGGAGGATGAGGAGGTTTGATAGATTCATGATAAATAATAACATGTATGTGTGTTCACACTGACCTGAGCATTACGGAGCCTCAGGGCCCAGCTGGGGGCCCCGCAGAGCAGCGGCTTCACACTAGAAGAAACATCCAGGCTGCTAAAACAAACACCAACAATGTGAAAATAAATTTAGGACAAACTATTATTTAGATACCAGAACTTTTTTTTTAGTTATTAGTAACTAAAAATGTTACAACAAGCCATTTAACTAGTAACCCAAATTACTAGGATGAAAATTTAACCACTGTCTTTTGGAATAGTTACCAGTAACCAGAGGTGGGAGTAAGTCACATGTCCAAGTCACAAGTCATTTGACATTCTTAGGAATTCAGTTTGTATGATCATTTTGGAAGACGTAGAGAGTGTTTCTGTTCTAACTATAGTGACCTATTCACAAAGGTTTTCTGTTAGTCTACTATTGGTTTCACTAATTGAAATGGGGTAGAAAAATAGAAACCTGTGTCAGTAACGGAAACCTCTTACCATTCCTGTAAAATTAGTTTTAAACGCCTGTTCAAGGCAGATCCAAAGTAAATTGAATGCAGTTCTTGAACCGTTTGGAGTATCTGCCTGGTTTTGGGCTTCTCTGAAAGAAACACTCTGCAGTGTCTAACCCAAAAGAATCACTGTAAGTGCTACTGGAATTGATTAATATCAGTTTAAACAAACTAAAACTAATTTATTTTTGGTTTCCGCTTGAAAATTTTTGCTAACAAATTAGCTGTGGTGCTGCAGCATAAAGCCTTACCTGGACCAAGTTTACATTTTATACCAATACCATGAAAATGACTATTTTCCACAGGTTTTTCTGAGTGTCTGTCTCAGTGTATTTTTTCTAAACAGCTCCGCCCCTTGGCGGCAGGCGGCTGCTGCTGCATCGCTCCGTATCAGCCGGCAGCTCGACACAGACGTGTTTTTTACTGGTAGATCATGAACTTCCTACTTAAAGCTGGATATCGTTATTTGCAGATTTTTATTGGCTACACATAAGGCAGGCATGCTGTGGTGATCGTATTTTGAAATGGTTTGCACTGGTCAGATCACGAGGATTTTAGCTTTCTAGCGGTGGATCATATGAGTATGAAGCTAACATGGCAGCTGTGTGCACATAGCGAGAGCATGAGAGTCATCAGGACCTGTTACCACCAGGGATGTTAAGAGGTTTTCACATAAACTTACAACAGCACCAAAGTGCAGCCAAACAACTGGGTGTACTTAATGCTCAAAGTCAAGTCTCAAGTCATGAACACCAAGTCAAAGTCAAGTCTCAAGTCATGAACACCAAGTCAAATTCAAGTCTCAAGTCATGAACACCAAGTCAAAGTCAAGTCTCAAGTCATGAACACCAAGTCAAATTCAAGTCTCAAGTCATGAACACCAAGTCAAGTTCAAGTCATGAACACCAAATCAAATTCAAGTCTCAAGTCATGAACACCAAGTCAAATTCAAGTCTCAAGTCATGAACACCAAGTCAAATTCAAGTCATGAACACCAAGTCAAATTCAAGTCTCAAGTCATGAACACCAAGTCAAATTCAAGTCTCAAGTCATGAACACCAAGTCAAATTCAAGTCATGAACACCAAGTCAAATTCAAGTCTCAAGTCATGAAAACCAAGTCAAATTCAAGTATATGTAAATGCTCCGTACTTGTATAGCGCCTTTCTAGTCTTTTCTAGGCTTTTTACACCACATCTGCATTCACCAGTCACACACATTCATACACTGAGCCTAAGTGCTCAAACGGAAACTAACATTCATACACTGGTGGAACAGCCACCAGGGGCAATTCAGGGTTCAGTATCTTGCCGAAGGACACTTCGACACGCAACCTGGAGGAGCCGGGGTTAAAATGATATCTGAACTGCAGAGCCCCATAGATTTCAATGGGAAAAATGTACAATTGCTAGTAACTAATTCCATTTTACTATTATTACTATTAATATTATTATTGACTATTATTTAGATACTAGACCAGTACTTAATCTTTTGTTACTAGTAACCTTTCCATTAGTTACTAGTAAGAATTAAAATGTTACTATCAACAAGCTGTTTTACTAATCATTAATAAATGACTAGTAACAATGAAAATGTTACTAGTATCTTTTGGAATAGTTACCAGTAACTAATTAATATATAGTAAAATGGAAATAGTTACTAGTAATTAATGACTAAATACTAGCAGCTTTTAAGTAGTACTAGTAAGTTTCAAGGAATAAATACTTGGCATGCCACACATGTTCATTTTACCTGATGGCCGGCGGCGTCTCACTGGGAGGTTGGCTGGAGTCTGTCCCCGTGGTAACAGGGATGTTAACAACAGCACCTAAACACACAAACGAAAATCTATAATTATCAGCTCCTAATTAGCGCCGCCCCTCTCCCTCCAATCAGAATCCTCCAAGTACAGATCCAGTACCTGCTGGGCTACTGGAGATCACAGCCAGCTGGGATCCTGAGAGCTGATTGGACGGGATGACAAACACCTCTCTGCTCTCTGATTGGCCCGCCACGATCACCTGACACAAAACACAATCATTAAGAGAACTGATATTAAATAAATAAAACATTAAACATAGGACTCACTCTCACCACGTGTTCACCGGGCAGCGTCTGACCTTGCTGCTCCACGATGATCAGCTGGTTCTGCCACACCGCCGTGGGCGGAACCAGCAGCTGTGATGTGACCCAGGTGTCAACAGCTGGATCGGAGGGGGCGTGGTCAGCTGCAGGAGGAGGAGCTGTTGTTTCTTCGGTCACAGTGTCTGGAGGTCTTGGGCGGCGCAAGTCAGCAGAGGGGGCGGGGCTTAGGGCCTCATCTGTTTCAGGTGAAAAGAGGGAGGAGGCGGAGCCAAGCGTCAGGTCTGATTCAGGATCTGCAGACTGGAGTGAAAAAGTCACAATTAGTCCATCCACTAAAAAATGGATCAGTCCCAAGCAAACACGAACGGCTACACCTTGGGGGGAGGTCTCTGACGGGGGCCCTACACCTTGAGGGGAGGTCTCTGAGCGGAGGCCCAAGTCTCTGAGAGGAGGGTCCCTACTCTCTGACGGGGGCCCTACACCTTGGGGGGAGGTCTCTGACGGGAGGCCCTACACCTTGGGGGGAGGTCTCTGACGGGGGCCCTACACCTTGAGGGGAGGTCTCTGAGGGGAGGCCCAAGTCTCTGAGAGGAGGGTCCCTACTCTCTGACGGGGGCCCTACACCTTGGGGGGAGGTCTCTGACGGGAGGCCCTACACCTTGGGGGGAGGTCTCTGACGGGAGGCCCAAGTCTCTGAGAGGAGGGTCCCTACTCTCTGACGGGGGCCCTACACCTTGGGGGGAGGTCTCTGATGGGGGGCCCTAGTATCTGAGGGGAGGCTCTAGACCCGACAGGAGGTCCCTACTTTCTGAGGGGAGGGTCCCTACTCTCTCAGGGGAGGCCCTAGACCTTGTGGGGAAGTCTCTGAGGGGAGGCCCAACTCTCTGAGGGGAGGCTCTAGACCCGATAGGAGGTCACTACTCTCTGAGGGGAGGCCCTAGACCCTGAGGGGAGGTCTCTGAGGGGAGGCCCTAGTCCCTGAGGGGAGGTCTCTGAGGGGAGGCCCTAGTCCCTGAGGGGAGGTCTCTGAGGGGAGGCCCTAGTCTCTGAGGGGAGGTCTCTGAGGGGAGGCCCTAGTCTCTGAGGGGAGACCCTAGACCTTGAGGGGAGGTCTCTGAGGGATGGCTCTAGTCTCTGAGGGGAGGGTCCCTACTATCTGAGGGGAGGCCCTAGACCTTGAGGGGAGGTCTCTGAGGGATGGCTCTAGTCTCTGAGGGGAGGGTCCCTACTATCTGAGGGGAGGCCCTAGACCTTGAGGGAGGTCTCTGAGGGATGGCTCTAGTCTCTGAGGGGAGGCCCTAGTCTCTGAGGGGAGGCCCTAGACCCTGAGGGGAGGTCTCTGAGGGGAGGCCCTAGTCTCTGAGGGGAGGCCCTAGTCTCTGAGGGGAGGCTCTAGTCTCTGAGGGGAGGCCCTAGTCTCTGAGGGGAGGCCCTAGTCTCTGAGGGGAGGCCCTAGTCTCTGAGGGGAGGCCCTAGTCTCTGAGGGGAGGCCCTAGTCTCTGAGGGGAGGCTCTAGTCTCTGAGGGGAGGCCCTAGTCTCTGAGGGGAGGCCCTAGTCTCTGAGGGGAGGTCTCTGAGGGGAGGCTCTAGTCTCTGAGGGGAGGTCTCTGAGGGGAGGCCCTAGTCTCTGAGGGGAGGTCTCTGAGGGGAGGCTCTAGTCTCTGAGGGGAGGCCCTAGTCTCTGAGGGGAGGCCCTAGTCTCTGAGGGGAGGTCTCTGAGGGGAGGCTCTAGTCTCTGAGGGGAGGCTCTAGTCTCTGAGGGGAGGCCCTAGTCTCTGAGGGGAGGTCTCTGAGGGGAGGCTCTAGTCTCTGAGGGGAGGTCTCTGAGGGGAGGCCCTAGTCTCTGAGGGGAGGCCCTAGTCTCTGAGGGGAGGCCCTAGTCTCTGAGGGGAGGTCTCTGAGGGGAGGCTCTAGTCTCTGAGGGGACCCTGTCTGAGTGGCTTCAGTCAGTGTTTTGGAACCGTGGAGTTGCACCATGAGTTGGGCACTGTTTTGTTTGAGAACTCTAAGTTGCAGAACACCTGCTAGTTTGTTTTCTTTTGTATTTCTGTAGGCTTATGGCGGCTGATCCTTTTGTTCTTTACTGTGTTTATGAGCTAAGTAACTGTCTTTGGATAAGACCCTCTTTTGTTTCATTTTGTTTTGTTCATTTGTCAGCACCTTTATAGCCTCTTTTTGTTGTATTTTCTTGTGCAAACGCACTGTCTTGGTTGATTAAACCCTTGACTTTAACCAGAATCTTCCAGTTGTCCCAATCCACCTCATTTTCAATCCCAGTCACGTGTTACTGCCCTTCCTTAATGATCCGGATCAAGAACAAGAGGACGTCCTCTCTGCTGCAAGCGGCCAGGTAGCGTCAGTCCGACTCACCTGATCAGGTCCAGCAGCGGTGTTTCTGTCGGCCTCAGTCTCCATGGTAACTCAGTCACATGTCTGTGTGACATCACCACCTTCATTTAAGAAGACAGAACACGTGGTCTTTATTTAGTAAAGCTGCGCTTCGACCATAGGAATTATACCCCGGAACTAGAAACCTCTGAAGGAGGTTTCCACCAGAGGGACCAGGGTCTACATGTAGTTCTGGGGTCTTTACCCCCCAAAAGGTCCCTGCTCGGAGGGTTGTACATTCCAAAAGTACCAGTACTTTGGGGGGGGCGGGGCTTGCCCTGCAGTGAATTTCTGAATGGGCGAGTAGAGGCTACTGGCTTTAACTGGAGAATGTCGGCTGTTTTTCTACGACTGCTGCTCTTTTTTCCACCGTTGTTTGCAAACCAGTAAATCACAACCAGCAGTCAGAGAGCCGCACGAGTCTCGCCGCCGTCGCCTGAGATTCAGCATTAAATGTGTTGTTCGGAAACAGCAGCCAGCGTGCAGCGGTGTGTCTACAGCGAACAGCTGATGGAGTTGAGCTACATACTGGGTCCTGAGTTGTTGTTTGAAGTTTTAATCAGTCAGGAGGTTTTTCCTCAGAGCTGAAGTCTCCTCCTCTCCAAAACAAGCTGAACAGCTGATTACAGCAGGTAATAAAGCTCGTTAAACATCCCGTTCCTGCGACACTCAGGCGACACAGGTGTGATGCTGCAGCTGATGTGCAGCTCCTGCCGGCTGAAAATGTTTTAATAACCTTCCAAACTGTTTTATTTTTGTGCTGCTTTCTCTGTGCTGGAGTTACTTTAAGAACTTGATGGTTTTATCCAGTTTGTTATTAAATGTGTGACAAACTTTACCGTGTGGCCTCTTCATGACACCCCCACACAAAAATAGCTGCTTTAATGGTCAAACACAGCCTGTAGTTTTTCATTATATTCCATCAAATCTGATGTTCATTTACAAATGTAGGAGAGTTCCAGCATGGATACAAATAATGATGCCTGTGCATCGCTGTGTAGGGCGTGCAGGCCTACAGCCTACGTCAGCTGATTAATCTGCCTGATCTTCACAGGTCCACGGTGGAAACGCACACAACAGTGGGCTGAAGGAACCTTTTGGTTCCTTGAAAAGAGATCCGGTAGCCCACTTTTGGCCGACAGACGACGCCATCGTCCATCGGCGATGGCTGACAGACATCACGACGTGGAGCAGGCATCGTGATTGCACAAACTTTACAAACTCTGAGCTCCACAACAGCTGATCAGAATCAGTTCAATCAACTGTGAGTTTGTTGATGGAAGCGCATGTGAGGGGATAAGAAAAAAAAAAGCCTTCATCAATTTAGCAGACTTGAATTTCCTTAAAGAATGATAAAGTGCTTGAACTCTCCTACGTTACATCGTAAAGTATATTCATTTATTCAGCTGTAACCTGACGGGACAAAGTGCAGGTGGAAATAACAGAAGATGAAAATATGGATCAAACAGAGAAAACACAGTTTACTCATGTAGCTTTGATTATAGAGCCACAGTCTGACCCCGTAATAATTATTCTTTTTTTTCCTGGTTCAAACTGACTTTACATTTTTAGACATATATTTAACATTAAAAAATCTCATTTCTAATTCAATGAAATTCTGTCAAACACATTCAGACTATTAATACTGAAAAAGTCCTTTTAAACTACATTTACTTGTTTGAGCTGCTGCACAGTCGTCCTCACCATCATCTCCTCCAGCCTGATCACTACGGTGTGATCAATCACAACATGACAGATGGTTGTTCATTGATCAGTTGCAGCTTTCACACATTAGTTTGATTTAAACAGCGACTACTGCAGTAAAGGACAGTGTTTTCTTCTGTACGATGTCCGGAGATCTGTGTCCTCACAGCGCTGACAGATTGATCATAACAGAGGTCATGTTAAAGATCATTTTTGGGTAACTAACTAAAATCTAACCGGGATTTTGATGTTTGTAAACACATAAACTTCTGCTGATGAAAACGTTAAAGTTTTGAGGAAAATAGTCAAAAATGAAGGACAGGCAGCAGAAATACCCCCCCACACAAGTTTTGATTTTTATAGATAGGAGAAATATCTAATTATAATTATTTTGACTGATATTGCGATCTGATTTGCGGCATTAGAGGGAACGATCATTTTTACATCACTATTCTAATTTTCATTGAAATTAGGGCTGGACGATACGGCCAAAAATGTAGTCACGATAAAAACATTTCATATCGTTTGAGATCGATACTTATCACGATAGATGTCAAATCATTATATCTTTCAAGTTTAAAGGCAGATTTTTGCTCCTGAGTGAAAATTGAAGAAACCAGATGGTTAATTATGTGGTTCAACTTTTCTTTATGGTCAGAATGTGACAAACAGTTGATGCCAACAAGTGGATCGCTTCACAAATCTGAGGCAGAACATTCAAAACTATTTTTTTTTACTACAAATATGATTAATCTTTTTTCAACAAAAGTTTTTTAATAGAAAAATTAAGTGCTAATTTGTCCGTGATTCAAATGAATTAAAACAATTATTCATTTACGATATAATGAAATTTATTATATTGATATTGAGCATAATTATATTGCAATAATTATCATTATTGTTTTATTGCTCAGCCCCAATTGAAATACAAATTTAAATGATTGTGGTGTTTACAGGATCTGAACCAGACGATGATTTGTAGGCACCTCCTGCCATTTGAAACATGCAGTAGGCCAGATTGTGATTCAGATAAACTTTCGTTGAATTATTCAGCCCTAATAAAAACCTTCAGACAAACTGCGCCTGGTTCTGCAGCACCGTGTCCGCTTCATTTAAATAAAACAAGTGAATTCAAACAGCTTAAGCGCCTGTTGGACCGGAACAGATGTGTGGCTGCAGATTTAATCACCTCTGCTCAGTGTCAAACTCTCTGCCCTCACTTACAAACTGTTTATTTAAATATAATTATAATATATTAAACCAGACAGGGCTGGTGTATGTACAATTACAACCGGAGAAAATTAAATCAACAAGTCAAACAACGTTAACTTTGCCATTATTTGAGGATGGAAGAGATTTACTGAACTGTAAAACGACACGGAGCAAGTAAAATTATTGATCATCTGAATCATGTCTGGTATTTTCTAAAATATGTCGGCTGCTTCATCAGAGGCAGAACTTATTCCGGTTCAGTAAACCCTGCACTTCTTTATGTCGTTTATAACCTGAGAAAAATGACCTCAACACTAAACTCTGACCGTTTTTACATGTTTCAGTTAGTTTGTTACTCCGCCATGTTGGGCTAACGTGTTAGCATAAAGCTAACGACGCTACACAGCGCTGCTCCGGCAGTTAGCTTGATGCTAGCTGCCGTTAGCTGCCGTTAGCTGCTCTCGCTGCCCGCAGACTGAGCGGCTCAGCTGAGAGATTAATATGAGAGGGAAATGAACTCGAGTCTACTCGCCCTCGTCTTCAGTCTGTCGCCTCCCTCCTCTTCCGCTCGCACCAAGCGCCGCTCGCGTTTTTTACTACAGGCTCGGCCGTTTTGACCCTCTGAGGACGCCGTCGGTTCGTCTCGCACCAAACTCTATGTATAAATCCAGCGGGTTTAATGTTCTCCTGCCTCTCTCTTAATGTTCACACTCTGTATATGAACATGTTAATATTTGGCACACATTGAAATGTTTTACTCTTCAATTCGGCATGTTTTTCACATCTAAAATCAATACGCATTAACGTACCAACAACCGTAGTGGACACAAAGTACACAAATCCTCTACTTGTATAAAAGTACAGATATTGCTAAATATTACTCCACAGTAGTCTTATATTTAAATTTCTACTTGTGTCAAAGTACAAAAGTACTTGCTTTTAAAAATATTTAGTAGTAGTCTGGTTCTTCTGTGTGTTTGGGGTTGCTGACAGAAACACTGGCATTCATTAGAAACAGGCTGTCCTTTCAATAATAATTGAAGTTACTCACTTATATGTGTGTCTGTATCAGTGGTGGTGGAAATTATTACACAGAAATTAATATAATAATAAGGAAAAGCAGCAGACCTTAGGTAAACATGAACTGTTAATTTCATAGCATCATATGTTAAGGAAACACTATGGAACTATAGAATCCCTAATTTCCAGTTCAAGAACGTCCCTCTAAACTGCATTTAATAATCTGACATTTTTACTCCATCTTATAGAGACACCTTATTAATAATAATCTTTTTTCAAAACCAAATGCTTCATACTACATAGCAGAAGGGAGTTAAAAACTTAATTTTACTACTGTGACAAATAAACCTACCTTGTACCTTGTTTAAAAAGAATGTCAAACCAAGCTCCATTTAAAAAATCGGACAGTTTAACAAATTTCCTGCTTGCAGCTAAATGCACACGCCTCTTACATAAGAGTGTACAATAGGTTACAAACAGGAAGGATTCGTTATTCAGTGTGGCATATGTCTGCATGTGGTTGTGTGTATTTCAAACTACTACTACAAAGACACAGTACTGACGAATACTTAATAATCTAAAGTATTAACTGAAGTGCACGTTGTAGTTCTTTTGTTGCTTTTTACTGCTTCAGTTTTCCACCATTCCCACAATTTTACTTAAAAGTATTATTATTAAAACTACTTCCGCTACTACAACCACCACAACTACCACTACTCTCTAATTCACACTGAATTAAAAAGCAAACATTACACCAGATGATACGGCAGTAAAGTTATTACTATAAATTAAACACTTGGACACGCTGGATCCTCTGCACTTTATTCAATGATGAACTTAAGCTTGTGGTATTTTTATGTCCTCTACGTGGATATTACAACATGTTGGGATGAAACTCTTTGTATGAACCACCAAAGTTGATTCATAATCTGTAGGATTGTACAGCATGCTTTGTGTGAGTGCTGTGTGTTAACCGTGAGAAGGATTGTGACTTTGGAGCTTGCAGATTACAACACTAACGGTATACAGCGGTGGTAATTGGTCCCATATGAAAGTATACAATGTGTAATAATGTATACAGAGTACTTACACTACAGGAAAGTCAAAACTATCATACATAAATACACATGATAGCCAAAGAAATACACAGAATATTCAACAACAGACTGGGAAATTCAAGCGTCCCAGAGTCATCGGGTAGCAGAGGACAAACAGCAGCTAAACTTCAGTTAAATATTATGTTTTTTTTAAATCTACAATACACACTGTTAGCTGTGGAAGAGACGCCCCGTCGCGCATCTGTACTGCATCTGTACTGTGGACAATATTATACAGTAACTCAAGCAGAGTTACAGAGCTTCTGACAGCTGAAGAGACATCAGAAATAATATAAATACCATTTTAGTGGTGTGATGTTTCATGCAGGAGGCAAAAATATGTTCATCATAAATGTAGTAATACAGATGACATGTAGATCCTATTTATTGAGCGAACTATATAAGCTACAGTAAATGACTTTAAAGGGGTAATCCACCATTAGAGACGTTTTCTGGCACATTTTTAGTTCAGCATTATCGCCAAGATAAAAGTTCACCCTGAACGGATTTTGGCTAAATGTGTTTTCAGACTCCAGACAAACCAAAGTTTAGAGAGGGTTTAATTCAACCCGTTCTCACCCCAAGGCATCACTTTCTAACGCCCTGGGTACCCTTCATTTTTGTACATGTAGGGCTCCGCGGTCAAGTTAGCAAGAATAAATACACAACATCCGGTTAGACTTTCAAAATAAAACTAGTGGTTAACATGGCAGTTTGCTTAAGTTTAGGAAAAGATCATGGTTTGGCTTAAAGTAACTTACCTAACTTACATAATATCAATAACCACGTTGACTTTTTGTTTCACAAGGGAAAGAAACACTGGTCTCCTGGTTTAAAGTCCAGTTTTTGTCCCACCCGTCCACCCCAAACGTCTCCTTACTCTGACTTTTCTGTTATTTATAGTAGTACTATTAGCATTGAACAATGGCGCTAAGGGGTGCCATGGTCGTTGGTACAAAGACGTCGAAAGACGTGACAAAGCGTTGCTATTTGACGCTCTGGAGATGAGAATAGGCTGTGTAATTGTATATAATGTTATAAAGTCAAAGCAAATATTGCGGTGAAAAAGCACAAGTTGAAAATGTTTCTGCTTCAGTTAAAAAGTCAAGCTAACGCCAAAGCTGTTTGACTCTGATAGACCAGAGGAAAATAACAGTGTGTTCAGGTTCGGATACCCAGGTTTCCAACCAACTTTAGATAAAAACACGCCAGCTCCCGCATGACAAAAGCCTTGATGGCCGCGGTCCAATAAAAAACTGCGAAATCTGACAGCTACAGTAGCTTGTAAAATAGCGCCATGCACTGAATTTGATGAATTCATTGTTTATCAGACCCCAAATTAGATGAGAATTAGCCAGCTAGCATGCTATTACTGTATGTTGAGTGTGTGTCTGGTGTTTATGGGAAACTTTAACTCTGAACGACTACGACTTAACAGTTTGAGGCTGTATTAGCTAGCTAGCTTATTTAGAAAGTTATAAATAAAGCCAATATCTGTAATGTCGTACATTGAAGAAACATTGCATTTGTTAAATGATGTCTGGTGAAAATTTGTTTTGTACTCAGTCTGAACACACCTGAAGTTCTCAAATCATTCTCAGATAATGTGACGCCTAAATGGTGATGAAGAAGATTTCGGAGCAGGGCTAGCTAGCAAACTCTACCTGAACCAGAACTAGCTAAACCAGGGCTAGCTGACAACCATAGCTAAATTCTAAGTGTGGGAAATAATAGTTTGACCAACTATCTATGGATTTAAATCAGTGTCGGTTATCCCTGGTTCCAAACAAGTTAAAGTCTTCTGGTTGTAGAATTAGCTCCCTAAACCAGATCTATACTTAGCTCTGGTTCTAAAGTACAGTTAGCTCTGAGCTAAGTCACGCATGCCTTCACAAATGCCATGATGTAAAACAAATAATTCTCAGGGCACGTCCATATGTACACATTAGCATATCTAAAAACAGTACAAACAGTAGAAAATACAAAAATAACAAAACATAAATACATCGTAAAGGCATCTTAACAGAATAATAAGAGTATAATAATATTTATGTTGCTGTTGACAGTGTGGGTGAGCAGTAAGAAGAGAAAAAAATTTTGTTTTTGCTCCTTAATTCATGTGAAAAATAAACTCAAATTTAGAACAATAAACAGAAAAATAAAATACGGATTTTACAAAAGTGCAAGAAATAAAGTGCGTAAGGATTACTAAATGGTAATAAGTTAACTTACTGCAGTTACACAAACGAGCAGTTAGGTTTGTCACATACATACATGTAGAAATCTAAGATTTTACAACTTGGCATTTATAAAATCAGCCATTCAAAAAAAAAACATTTTAAATGTCCAGTGAATGTAACTATGAATTAACAGTCACTTTGTTATAAAAACAACAAAACAATAACAAATAGAAATAAAATTTAAGAAAAACGGTGACAGTTCAATTCAGTCCTAAGTCATTATCTCACCAATTCCTCCTGTTTCTTTTGTTTATAAACATGTCACACCAAACTCTATTAAAAAATCTGACATTTTAAAAATGTTCTACTACAACTACTACTTCTATTATTATTATGTATATACCTTGTAAATATTAACATATAAATATAAATGATAAGGATCCACTTGTCAGACGGCATGTCTCATACACCAAGCGTCACGTTTGGAATTAATTCAAAATTAAAGAACTAATTTTCAGCGTCTCTAACACCTGGTCGATGGCGAGCAGGTTGGGCCAGGTTTGTTACACTAAAATAAAGTGCTGTGGATCATTTATAAACTGAATTTACTAGACCAACTCTGCACGTTGGCGACCCTAAAAGTGTCCACCAGAGGTAACTGCTGCTCTCAACGGCTGCATTATAATGAGACAGAGTTTACAGAAAAGTCTGAATAAGAACATCTTTAAATCCCAATTTGGTTACTTTCCAACACACTGATAGAAGTTGTTAGACAAGCATTTAATTTGAAGCATACCTCGACCTTTAAATTGTACGACTGGACCTAATGAACCGGCAGCTCACTGTGCTACGCCTACAATCCAACTGACTCAGGATGGATCGTTGACTAACACAACACAACATGTAAATAAGACAGCTTTGGAGTTGTTCGAAGGCCTATTTTGTCTGATGGATCAACTCTGTCCTTCACCTTCTTTCTTCTGACAGTTCAGTCTGATCTTTCTTTACCTTCTGAGGTTACCTGAGGAGGTTGTTCGTGGCCGAGGTTAGACAGGCGAAAAGGCTGATGGTTTCTTCTCCTTTCTCCAGATGGTCTGTCCTTGCAGCCCTAACATGGCGGTTGAGACTGCTTCATAAAAAAAAGTGCAAATTAGATGAATAGAGACCCTCCAACAGTAATGTCGTCAATCTGTTGATACATCTGAGCTAAACACGTTGTCAACAGGAGGCATCATGAGCTGACTGCATAGCTAGAGTAAAAGTTTAAAGCAAAACCGGCTCCTCAAATGATATAAACCGCTGT